GTCGGAACTATAGAATTAAATCATCGTACACAATATATACTTGGAAAGAAGTTAGGCACCACCTCTTCGTTATTTTCAGAAAATATTTGATTTATTTCTTTACAATTGACATTGATCTTATTTTGATAATGTTGAACAATGATGTTATTTTAATAATGTTGAAAATATCACCAATACATCTATTAAGTAAATAAAGGCGACTATGCTTGTCGTAAGAGGCGACAAACGGGATCGGGTAGTCAGTCTCGCTTACTTGGTTGATGCATGTCATCGATCCCAATTGCGTGGATCGATGCTCATGTTGTCAATCACTGGATTGTCTGTTCCAGACTCGATTATTTACAGACCACCATCATATAGCTGGAATATTGCTGAATGCGGCATTAAACAACAAACCAACAATATTAAGTAAATAAAACACATTTATTTCTCCCTCCCGGGTTGAAGGACTGAGCCATATAATATTCAAATAAGCAGAGGACACAGTTGACATGGTAGTCAAATAACTACGGGGTATTGACCAGTTGCAAAACATGTCATTAGATAATTGGTTCTTTTTTAATATGAGCACCAAAAACAAATGTTTTTCATAAGAGAATTCATGGCATGATTTAAAAAAATTACTATTTTATTTGAGATATATACTTTTTTCAAGATATATATTTCAAATGAAAGGAATTTGAGACAAAACTAGTATATTGCCAACAATAATTCAGGAATATAAAGATATATCATCAACGATATCATTTTAAACAGTTCATCAAGTAAAAGGGGTTACAGTTTGAGATTTTACCTTTATTGAAAAGATTTTTTACAGGTTCAAAAGATAGAAGAGTTTTGTCAGAAATATGTTCACCAATTTGTGTGTATAGCCTGTGTGTATGATAGTAGTGTGTACCTATTGTCTTTGAAAGGGAGAGGGGGCATTAGACAGATTTGTGTTGTCTGGGTTGGTGCAGATAATGTGTGCCTCAATCCAATTGATCAAAATCATTAAATTGGATTCGAAACCCGGAAATATTCTGAACAATTCATGGCTTAGGAATCCTTTCCAATACCAACAGAATGTTTTCTCTTTTGAAGCAGTTTCTTTGCACTCTAAATAAGTGATTTTTTCGAAGCATTTGGCTGACAGTGTTTGGAGACTTTGCTGTATTCTGTTTGAGTACATGTAAAAAGTGAAAGGTTGTGTTTACCAGTGCAATGAGAGTTTCAAATGAAATTTTCCGGGCGTCAAATACTCAACAACCACAAATATGAAAACACGTTTATCTCCTAAATGTATATTTTATATCTGAACTGATGCCACTGAGCAAACCACTGCATGCTCAAGATTAAGGTTTGCTTGGCATTTGTAGAAATTTTCATTAAAATTTCCACAAATATTCATGTGTTGTTCTTGTTTGAAAGTAATTGTGTTCTTTCTTCACTGTAGGAAGGGGCACGGGTGGCCCAGTCGTCTAAGGCGCAGCGATTCGCTGTGCAGAGTTGCCTCCCTTGGCCTGTCAGAAACCTATGATTGTGGGTTTCGAATCCCGGTTCGCCCCAATTATGTTTCCAGGTTTGTTAGCACCATATCTGTGCTCGTGGATTTCACCGAAGTGCTAAACGTCTGAGACCTGAATCACTTTGGGCTTTCCTCCCACATTAAGCTGAAACGTCGTATAACTGGAATACTGTTAAAAGCGGCATTAAACCCAACTCACTCACTCACTCACTCACTGTAGGAAACCTGAAGTGGATTACTGAAAACAGTATTTCAGGTCCCCGTTAAACTATGCTTGTTGTGAGAGATGACTAAATGGATCTGATGATCAGGGTGCTGATCATAATGTTGCAACCTACGTATCACAACTGTATACATGTAGTTTATCTTAGGCTTATGGATGTTGTAGCACTATGAACGCTTTGTGGAGTTTGGCCCTGGCTTGTGGCCCTGGCTAGTGGAGTTAAGTTGATTGCATGTCATCGTTCTCCAACAGCTTGCTACACTGCTTGTAATATCAATCACTGGTTTGTCTTATCCAGAGTTGATTCCTTTCAGGGGGGCAGGGCCATTTTTTTTTTATAGAAAACAGTTTTATTTGAATCAAGTTGGGGACAACTGATGCTTGTACAAATATTTGCCCCCCCTGTCAAAAAAAGTTAACTACGGCCTTGAGCTGTCTTAGCTTTAGATTGTCATAAAGTTGTCATAGCGAAACAAATAAATTAGGTAAGTCTATCATTGAAGCTACCTTAGCACTAAGTTAAGTGTGGTGTGGTGTGCTGAAGACCCGGGTTCAGTTCCCTACATGGGTACAATGTGTGACGCCCATTTCTGGAGTCCCTGTCCGTGATATTGCTGGAACATTTGTTGCTAAAAGTGGCGTAGGACCATACATTTACGACAACAATTAGGATGTGTATGACAGAGCGTATGACAGGTAAGGACAATAAACGGCATGTTGAAGAAAATGATTCGGGAGTAGCTTGTACTAAATCAGGGGCGGTCGGGAAGCCTAGTGGTTCAAGCGTTCGCTCGTCACGCCAAAGACCCCGGTTCATTTCCTGACATGGGTACAATGTGTGAAGCCCATTTCTGGTGTCCCCCGCCGTGATAGGGCTGGAATATTGCTAAAACCGGCTTAAAACCATACTCACTCACTCACTCTACTGGATTATTTCTGGCTGCGAAACTCAGTAGTTTCCACTTGCACCTTCAAAACATAACAGATCCTAGAAATCACACCACAAACATTGCATTTACTTATTATGACATGCCCTGACAGCGAGTTGATAACAGGTGATAGTATAACAATCATCTCATACCAAATTTTATGTGAATCAATCTACCTTTTTCATTTATTTCAACTGAAAAAACTAGCAGCATGTTTGCATGTTATGGCAATGACCATGACCTTTTCTTGTCAAGGGCAGTTAACTTATACAGAGATAGTTGGGGTGGTTTCCTCTAGACTACAAAATAAAAAGTATGGCATCTAATAGAGTGAGCACCTAGTCACCAGACGTGTGGCCACACTGATAAAATGCATGTATTCCTTGTCTAGGTAGATGTGTTTCCACTGTGCTAGATTTGAGATCCTACATAGTGACAGTTTACAGGAGATCCTGAACATAAAACATATTTTCTACAATACTCCCTAAGAGCAAAATCGGTGACTCGTCGCAACCTTGCAGTCATCACAACTTATTTACGCACACCAGTTTATATTTTTTTCACATTTTCATTTTACTTTGATAAGAAATTACGGTGATATATTTCACTGATAAATTGTACATAACAATAACATGAGCAAATCCACCCTCTCAAGAATCAACACCGGAATACATCATTACATTAGCATTTATCTTCTTTTGCGATCTATCTGATCTGTCTGTCTCAATGCATACATGAATTTCAATTGAGGAAATTCCCTGAATCTATAACGTCATTGGAACCCTCCTCCTCAATCTCATTTATATGAGGTCGTTTCTCCAATATGATACCTCTCTGCATGAAGATCTCAGTACACATCCATGGATTGCATCAGGTGGCCTTTCTAATCGGCCAATCAGCGTTCAAGGTACAAGTGAGCAAAGCATTCACACAAGCAAATTGACAACGGGGATATTCGTTTCTCCCTATCGCGTCTAGGCCTATTCACCAGCATCATTTTATGACCGACAAAAAACTTAAGTTACCTACCTACCTAACTCAAATTGTCGACTCAGATTGAGTTCAAAATTGAACTCCATTTATTTCGAGAAATAAATTTGTTTCTAGATGTCTGCATCTTGTAAATGAACTTCCAAGGCCGCACCATCATATTGTGGATAGTTTCTCATTTCGGAGATTCATGGCATCTACACATCAGATGACATATTCCCCTGGTTTGGTGCAATTAGGAAATGGTGTGGGGCTACTTTTGGTTCATTGCCAATGGATACCTTTAAGGAAAAAATGATGCTGTCCAGTATTTTTCAAACTCCCAAATCATCAAAAGGCACCAGTTTACCACTAGACTGGTCTGTGTAGCAAGTTTCATCTAGAAATATTCAACGGTTTGGGAGTTCAGCTCTGGAAAAGAGCACTACCTTCATTTTCAGTAAAGTCCAACTTGCAGTCATGAAAACAACAAACAAACAAATTAAACATACCAAATCATCAAAAGGCATCAGTTCACTAGACTGATCTGTATAGCAAATTTCATCTACAAATATCCAACAGTTTTCAAGTTCTAATCAATAATATATTACTCTGATATGATACATCTCTATATCAAGATCTGACGACACCGCAATAGAAGATTGAGCAAACTTTGACTGCCCAGTCTAAAAGAAGGGTCCTTGAGCTAATCACATTTCAGTTTTCTAAACGATTCTGCCTCATTTGTATAACTTAACAAAAGAAAACCCATACATAAAAGAAATATACCCTTGATAGCATACCCTTTTGGGTGAAGATACCATGGCACTCAGAAACAGACCCATGAAGACCTGGGGTTGAATAGGTAATCAGCGACTATACTTGTCGTAAGAGGCGACTAATGGGATCGGATGGTCAGGCTCGCTGACTTTGTTGATGCATGTCATCCATCCCAATTGCATGGATTGATGCTCATGATATCAATCACTGGATTGTCCCATCCAGACTCGATTATTTACAGACCGCCGTCATATAGCTGGAATATTGCTGAGTGGGGCGTTAAACAACAAACCAACAACCAAGAACTCAGAAACAACAGGGCATATACAATATCCCCAACAATATTTAATAGCATGGCCTTTATTAGTTTTCATTTGGAACTACCTTTTATGCTACCTTTTGAGATACAGAAATCAGCTATGTAGCTCTGAATGCAGCACTATCACATCAAGTATTCACAAGCCTCGAAGCTGGGTTGTCAGATCTTCATGCAGAGACGTATCATATGTGGGAAAAATATCTGACTTTCAGAGATAGCAGCTGATGCAGCAGACAGGTAGCAATTGGGCACACAGACACAACAAACCAATGGTTAGATGGAACACATATTTTATTTGTTTCTGTCATACAGCATTTAGCAGGCAGGCAAACAAACAGGACAGATAACAACACCTGTACAATAGTAGATGGACAGTCCCTCCCTCCAGCTCTGTGTAACATCACATCAAAATACCGCTCTGGATGGAATATGTAGGATTTGGCCCTATAATTCCTAATACATCTGGACATACATGCCACATCATGTACTGTGGTATATATAATATATCACAGGGTACTGTATGTCAGATTGCCATATGTATGTTTGCAATAACCTATCAACTATCCACACTAGTTCTGCTAGGCCATGATAAATTAATTATTAGAATTTCATCCTTAGTTATCCAAGGTATTATATTTCCATTCTATTACAATAAATAGCCTTGACACATTCATCACCATAGCTTTGTTTTGAGTCTGATAGAGAAAGGGGAGAAGGTGGTCACGTCACTTCCAAAATTGAGTTCCATAGCATGTGAGTCCAAAGAATAATGGAATGGATACACACTACACTGGACAAATGAGGATGGTCATCTTATTGTCCTCATCGTACCTACAAAGAAACTCTATACTAGTGTCACCTTCTTTACTTTATGAAATGCACTATATGCAATATCCTGACAAGCTACATGTGAATCAAATCCACCTTCAACCGGTAGTTTATGAGAAATGAGTTACAGGAACTAATCTACTTACCAATAATTAATTTATTGTGACCTAACTGCCCTATCTCAGTAATGGCTTGTCATTCTGATGGCATATGGTTGTTGATTTTCGAAATAACTTTCCATAATTCACAGACAAAAATGATATATTTCATGTAGCTACAATGACATAACCCGAAAAATCAATATTATCATCATGTTCACTCTCAATTTCACATAGGTTTCTTATCAGATGTGTAACAGGACACTAACGATAACAACAATCTGAGAGATCTGGAATAATTCTGTACATGTACATATGCTAATTTGCTACAAAGTTCTGGTGCACTTTTAGCTACCACAGGTCTACAAGAAGTCAGACAAACCTCACACCCTTGAGACCAGGATACATAGAGTCTGCATAGATGCAACATTGCTAATAAGGGATACTGTCAACAAAAACATTCCTTACCCATAGATATGAAACATAGCTTTGAACATGTTGATAGGGATATTCCAATATTGCTTGACACACCAAACTGATGATGTCTATATGATGCTAATAGCATGCAAGATCTCACAACAGATATACACTACTCAATTTCTGATAGGGATATGTGTATTATTTATTACATATGCACCAAAATGACCACCGTATTCAACGTAATAAGCGCCCCGCTCTAATAAGCGCCCATGGCGCCATTTGCTAATACATGTATATTGGCCAATGAACAATCCCAATTAGCACCCCTTCCGATTGATCAATGTTCACAAGACAAGATTTATTCGCATACAATATGCACTCGTCTGTTATATGCACCCTTAATTATGGGCAATTAAATTCTAGAAAAATATATCTGTCTTACATAAACATTTCAGGCTGTCAGCATAAACCATGAAATTTATCTTTCAACTCTGTTTTTTTCATCAAAATAGTATTCTAATAAGAGCCCCCTATTTCTAATTTCAAGAGCGCCCTGGGAGGTTATTACGTCGAATAAGATACTTATAATATGTATATGTTAATAAATGATCTATATGAACACATAATTGTGAGAGGGTCTACATTTTTCACTGGTTTGATTCAAAGGGGGACAGCATACCACATGCCCTATGCAACCCAAGTATCAACATTTCTTATCCTGAAATTCTTAATGTCACTAGCTTTGGCAATGCACTGATTCATACATATCTTGTATTCGCACAACAAAATACATCTCTATGTGGTATCATTGCAAAACATACTACTTTGAACCCACACCAAACAGTCATCCCCGCACGACAAGTCTCTTCCACTGTGGTAACAGTCACAAGATTTGGAAACTTCATGACTGCAAGGAAAATTACAGAATGCTTCTTACATTTTTGTGCCCAAAATATAGCTTTTTCTTGACAGATCAATTAGACAACTTATACTCGCATAACAATATTAACCTACAGACATCTTTGGAATATATATACAAATGTCTCTGAGAAACTATACACAATAACAATGTTTGATACTTTCTGTATTCGTTTGGATGCATAGATTTTAAAAACGTTTATTGTAAGCACAAAAAGAAAGATGACACTTTTCAGTGATAAACTGAGAGCTTATCATTTGTTAAATTTCTGAAACACTGGCACATATTAATTTGCCACAATAAATAGCTTCTGTCTTAAAAGAAAGTACAAGACACTGGCTTGCAGAATTTGGTAAACTCTGCAGCTGAATTTGGCTTCCTTCACTTAGGAATCCATCAGGAATTGAGCTTTAGGAGAATACATCAGCTCACAGAGGGGCAGAACAGGAGCTGCAGCAGCATCTCCCAAGGTCATGAGATGTAGCCTGATGAGTGTCATCATATCTAAAATCTGTTTAAATTGACTGACAACAGTCATGGTGCTTTGATTGCCCTGTAGAGCCATGTTTAGGGAGTCTATGAAGTGAAAGTTTGGATTCACGCTGCTTAACCTATCAGCTTAATGTGGCAGGAAAGCCGAGGTGATGCAGGTCTTGTATGTTTACCACTTTGGTGAAACCCCCAAGCACGGGTATGGTGTTGACAAACCTAGAAACAAAATGAGGGAGTATCTGGGACGCGAATCCACAACCGTGGCTTCCTGGTACGCCTAAGGAATGCAAATGTGCAAAGAAAAATGCATCACCTTAGACGACAGGGTACCTGTGCCCCCTCCTATTTCCAGTTCAGGTCTGGATGCTATCATGTGAAAAACTGAGACATAATTAATTTGATCAATAATCAATGTGGCAGGGACTGCCAATAAACAAGGGCCTAGGCCCCTTTAAGGACAATTCATCTGTAATACAGCTCTTCATATATCGCTAAACCAAAGCAGCTCAAAAGAAGTTTTTTCATATTACTATACTTAATCTGCCTTTTTTTGCATGACAGATTAACGGAAATATGAAAGAATTGGGTGATCTCTAACACCTTTTGAGTAGTATATACACTTCAAGCATGCTAATGTTTTATACTGTAAACCCCATCAAAGATCCTCTTTAAAATACATAAGACAGTCAGTGTCTGACAGTACCCCCTTAGCTAAACTATCTAACAGCAATACACCCACAGCTGTACAAATTACTATTGCCTCAGGTGTAGTGGCCAAAATTTGAAATTGGAAACAAAACTTCAATCTTTCATAAACAGAGTGAAAGATGGGAGTTTGTTCCCCATTTTGGCTGCCACTGACTATGACTATATACTGGAAGCAGATTGTGGAGACAACAATGGGCGTTTCACAACCAGTTTGTTTGACATCACAGGCAAAGATCATCACGGATGTCAACAAAGATCATTAATTACAGGCATATACACACGTCATATAATAGGATCGAGAAGTTGGCAATAGTTTCATGTTACTCTCATTTGTACATACAGTCTATACTCAGAAATTACTGGTAACCACACAGACATTATTTTGAAATACTTAGAATGTATCGATTTATATAGACTCACTGAGAAAAAAATCATTCACTATACCGTAATCGACCAAATAAGCACCCATGTCCCAATAAGCACCCCCACCCCCCCTCCCTTTTGCCGGATGCCCAAGTAAGATTTACTCACCTGTTTTTTTACATACGGTCAAGAATCTTTTGTAGTCGGTTAATGAGGAGATGTTCACCAATAAAATATAAGTAACAGTTTATCTCTAGCCCCCCAGCAACAGAAGAATATCGATAGGCTTACTGATGAATTTACGCCAATTTGACTCTGAATTGGTCCCAATAAGCGCCCACCCCTTCTGTCTTTATTTTAAGCGCCCTGGGCGCTTATTGGGTCGAATACGGTATCTTAAATTTCAAACCATGTTATGAATGATTTATCAAGTAATGTATATTCTACTCAACATTTGATAGGGACAATCAGATGTCAGATATATTTAAATATACACTTGACATATCATGAGAATCAGTTTTGTGTATTTTGGAAAGATAAAAATATGGCTATCAAAAGTGGAGTACTATATATTTCACTTGTTATTATTGAAGTCATTACCCAACAACCAGTACATAATAAAGGTTTGCTAATGGTTTGACTGTATCACTGATGAAATTTAACATTTGACATCTTTCCATGTTATTGGTGTAAACAGTAGTGATTGGAAAATAGTATCATATCACCTGGTACACTCTACCACACAACTATTTTACTATTACAACTATGATAATTCCACAAAGGACAGAAATCACAACCATTCGAACACTTTAATAAGGTTTCTTAAACTTAAGGACAGTAAGGCCATCTATCCTACTCAAAAGAAGCTAAAGGACCACACGATTCTTTCATATTACTATAGTTAATCTGTCATGCCATGGTCCTTAACTTCTTTTGAGTAATATATAATCTTTTTGTGTTTGTCATCTGACAGTCCTAAATTACCATCCCACTCAAAAATATACATCGACATTTTCACATCTACCCATTCTCCCACTGGAATACTTATGTCAATCTTGAAATATTAATGAGTTTCCTGTTTCATAAAATAAAACCTCCATGCCATTTTGTATTGTCAAGATATCTGAGAAAGGGAATTAACTCTATTGCACTTATTTTCATCATTTAAGGCCCTGTTTTTGTTCGTCATAAAAGCTCTCAATACCGATACTTCAACCTTTACTTTTCGAAAATAGTACAAGAAATAATCAAATTGTGATTCATTTTTGCACATATCTTAAACATCAGACAACTGATGTTTTTTTCTTCTTGTTTATTTTCTTCCAAACGATCTTACTATCTAAAGCTGAGCATGGAGATAACAAATACACAATAATAAGGATGGCTTAACCTATGCCTCAAAGTGCATGGATTCAGCCACTTTAGCCCTGAAATATTGTAATATTGTCAACAACTTAAGGCCAGGCCAGATTTATTTTCTGGTTTAATAGACGAGTCTGTTCTAACTCTCACAAAAGGAATCAAAATTACTCAAAGAAAAATCCTTATTTCTTATTGTATTGTTTAATTTATACTTCAAGAGAGAAAATCAACCTGTTTTGGTTACAACAAAACCAGTTTGATTTCAAAAAGGCTTAAACAAAACTTAATAATTTGATATTTTTTATATGTTTACAGTGTTTGTCAGGGAGTTGTTTTGGGGAAATGTATATAAAATTCGTCCTGTTATTATTTTGTCTCCTGCATACGAAGCATGACAATATGTAATACAGGACATAACCTTGGGCATTACTGGATACATGTTGACCATAGTCATTTCAGTCCTTACATTTAACTCGTTCAGCAAGAAATATGTTTGAATTCTATCAACACTTACAAAGACACAGCACTAATCTCATCAAGTCTTTCACTCTGATATGATCATGTGATGATCCCCGTGTCACGATTTGACAATCCCTAAGTCAGGTCAGGTGACCTTAAGCGCACTTTGACCACCTAATCTTGGTCTTCAGCCAATCAGATGTCAGATTTGTAACATGATTCATCTTTTTGCAGTACAATCTTACTTCACAAATATACCTTCAATACTACACCCTTTCAGGGGTAGATGTCATGGCGCTCAGAAATGACGAGTGTATAAAATATCCACAATATGATAGCCTTTAGGCTTTATTACTTTCCTTTTGGAACTTCTCTTTAATGATCATATATACATCTCTGCATCTTAACTTGCTTGAACCAAGAAGTTCACTATTGAAAAATTCACCCACTCCTATGGAGACGTCACATCGTATCACAGTAAAAGATTTAAATGACACTGAAATAGTACTATGCGAGTATTCTGTGGCTAAAATAATGACAAAAATCTAAAAAGTCAAGACACCAGGTTAACACAAGTGCTCTTTTTATAAGAACATTTTCTTGTGTAAGATATTTAGCCATAGAATAATGAACCAGCTAATATATTTTATGTTAAATAACATTAAAACCATAATCACAATACTAAACTGAACAATTTGCGATCACAGAAAATTATGTATTGTCAAATTAGCATTAAAAGTTGGTATCAAAAGTGATATGTGTTCACATGTGCTTTTGCTGTGTGTGAATTCTTCAAGAGCGTCAAGGAAAGAGCAAAAAGAATGTGTAAATAATGGTTTTGCAATGATAAGAAAAGTTGACATATCTTTCTGAGCAAATACTATTTTCTAACATCATCAGAAATGTCCTTATTGGTAAATCATTCACTAACTGCAACATCAACTTGTACAGACATCAGTACCTTAGCAGGACCTGGCTGGTTTAACCAATAGCTGCCTTTCATATTGGAATCATACCCAAGTAATACAGATTTTGGTAACTTCAGCATATGCACTGTTAGAACTTGATTTAACAATCATATAGTACTGTCACAGCCCATTTATCTCTAAAAAAACCAGTTTCATTTTATTGGTGATTTAGTTTTGTGAGTTTGAAGTATACAGTATGCTATATTATCGCGGTAGTTCATTTGTAATAGATCGTTATGGCGTGCGCTTACTAACCTATTAGATATGTCATATTCAAAATGTTTGTTGTTCTTTGTTCAACTTTAATAACACATTAATAAGAATTGATCGATGCTGATTTTCTTTACCAAGTTTTGTAAACAAAGTATCTGTCATTAGCAAATCAATAACTGACAACTCAGTATTATCGCAGTATCACTATTTTGTGGTGTGATACTTGTGGAATATGTGCTTTACGTCACTTGATGTTAAAATAATGATGTATAATCAATATGCATATGACCAAGAGGCATCATCCAAACAAATGGATTCTTTTCTAATGCTACCATCACACCAAAGTAGTTTTATCCCGTTCTAAACCAATTACTAGAACGGTCTGTGATCACGGTAGAACAAGTAGTTTGGCATAAAATACGATGCTAGTTTGTTCATGAGCAGTCCTCAATGCGTCTATCTCATTCTTATCTCGTTCTTAGCCAGTCTGCAGTCCGTTTGTACCCAGTTCTGATCGTGTAAAAGTGCCCGTTCACCTCATCCTGACAACGTTTCGAAGCAGTTCGAGCATGTCCATTCTCAACTGATTCTTAACCAGTTCAACCATGTTCTACCTCGTTCACAATACGTCCAAGCCAGTTCTAACTAATTCTTAACCCGACCAACTCGTTCGCAGTACGTCCTCATCTCGTCCCAAATGCGTGTGTATTCGCATCCTGGCCCACCCTGACCCGACTCCTATGGATACCGAGCACGTTGTAGCCAGTCTTCATTCAAGTTCAGGGCTCCGAGCTGTAGACATCATGCCTCCAAAGAGAAGTCGACCCGGTCGGTGTGCACACATTCTGAAATTTATGTCCGACTGCACAACGTCGTAACACGTCCCTAGTAGGTTCGAAGTACAGCAATTCCGTTTGTAATAGGTCTTTCTCATTTTAAGTACGTTGTCAATCCGACTAATTGCAGAACGGGATGGACGGGATAAAATTTTGAGCAGACTCAAAGTTCTAGAGCACCCTCCCCCTGCGAGCCCGTCCATGAAGTTCGTAAAAAAACTGTCAATAGTTGCTACTACGTTCATACTTAGTTGGAGCCCGTTAGACAACATTTTGACGAACGTATTGAGAACTAGTTTGGTGTGATGGGGGTATTACCAATTTCAGATGGAGTTAGGGGTAATTCCACTTCAAAAACATTCCAGCAAATTATCACAAAAAGTTACCCTGTATACTTATGAGTAGCCAATATATTTCGCAACCAGTCCTGTATTCGATCAAGTGATGCAATATCGCGCTTAGATTTGCATAAGTAAACAGTCGAAAGGGGGAGTAAATTTACAAGATTTACCGATACCGCGATAATATAGTCATACTATAAATGTGAGCCAAATCGGTCATTTTCTTTGAAAATACTAATCAAATTTATCCCCATATTGAAGAAAAAGGATGATTTAATAAACAATTAAGACCAGCCTTTGTAGTAGAAAAATGACATATATTTGGCCTAAACTCAACTAAAAATATTATATGAACTTATGCATAGAATAAGATCAGCATCTTTTAACATGATCCCCCCTTTCCCCCTTCACCATTACATGTATCAATGCAACACGGGTAAGCACCTTCACTCGGGGAGATATTATGCAGTACATACAGAGGCACACAAGTGCCATATTTGATATCAAGTCTATTCTATCTCCAATCTACAATGATAAATATACTGGATCCGTTTGCTAAGATACCTATGTTCCCAGTCCCGTTCAAATGACAGAATCCTAAAAATGGGCATACAATCAAATTACATTGTTCTTTCATGACTGAAATAAGCAGTGACATCCATAGTACTCAACTCATATTTTGCAAACTGTCTCTAATACAACCAGATCGTTTCATAGTGACGAAAATATCTTATCTTACAAATGTTACTTTATTAGTCTTCTGATATAATTAAATATACTGAGAGCTCGCTTGGAAAGATGATGCAATTTGTTTTGTTGCCTAAGGACTTCCTTTCCTTGCCTTAGACTCACGAAAACATCTTATCCTACTAAAAGTTAATTTATTAGTCTTCTGGTATAATTAAATTTACTGAGAGTTCACTTGGAAGAGGATGTGATTTTGAATCTATGCAGAACCCACATTAAGAAGAGTCATTCTGAAAGCTTGTTGATTTCAAGTTCATGAGCAAGAGAAATTCTGTGCTATGTTAGTCACAAGCGAAGGAGCTTGTGACGTCACTTCAGAAACAAGGGTATGGTAGTGAATGGGTCCAGGACCCCGTCGCACAAAGCAATCTTAGCACTATCTTAACCTATGTTAAAGTATGGGAGCTATGACCTTAGCTCTAAGATAGCTTTATGCAACAGGGCCCAGGGTATACATTTAATAGATGGGAGATATGTTTCACTGGAGAATCGATGAAGAGCCTGGTCTGAGGTAATACTTTTGACTCTTGACTCTTTCAAATACAGATCAACAGAAATAGATATAACTTGTCACCCATCTTGTTCATAAGTGCACCAAAACAAAGGAGATTTGCCCTCAAATTTCTACTTTGAGCAAGTTGGAAATACCATTGCACAGGCATACAGTTCACTTTGTAGTACAAGAACAGGATGAGCATGCATACAATCATGAGCATGCATATGTGCATGACTCCTTCAAGAAATTCCATCAATTTCCCCTAAATGATATAGATACTATATAGGGAATATAATTACTCAAACCTTGGATAGAGAAATATGAATATTTGTTATGCAGTAGAACCTTCCTGTATACAAACCAAGGTACGCCAGTGTCTCTGTTGTGGACGTACAGAACCGGCCCACCTGCAATCAATGTAATTAGCACCCTGGTGTAAATAAGGCCGAGGGGTCATCTGGGTACAACATGGCTGCACAGTGAGGGGTTAAAGAAGCATTTGTTCTATTAAAACACCACTGTCACTACCATCTATTCCCAAAAAAGAAACTTTACGTTACAAGTGAACCCAAAATCGGTTTTGTGGACGATTTACTAAACTAAGACAACTTAGTACCTGCAGTGGTGAAACTGGTACATTTAAGAGATACCAGTATGTGTTTTCAGATTTACACCCACTAATTCAAACATTTACAGCAAACAATCTCCTTCATTTTACAAATCTGAATTATGATTGCAGCCAGGCTACATTTCTTGGATTTCTAGGGATGTAGTGAGAAATGGTGAGTGAGTGAGTTGGGTTTAACGCCGCTTTCAACAGTATTTCTAAATCAGTTATATCACGGCGTGTCAACATGATGCAGGCCTCAGACATTTACCACCTTGGTAGTTCACCCTGGGGCAGTTCTTTGGGACTGGGTGCTAATTACATTGATTTCAATATTGTTTTAACTATACATAACAAGCTGATAAAGTAATACAATCCAATTAGATATTGAATATCTGTGAACACACCCTTGAGATATCAGAAGCCATCTTTACGTTTGCCCTTAGTATCATGCTCAATAATGAAGGGTGTATTTTCCTCAATCTGAACCAAATAACAACCCTGATCAACTAATAACCATATCACAAATATACATCAGGCAAAGTTAAAAAAACAAACTAATTCATACATTTTGTAATAGTTGATAGGCTCAACTGTCACCTGAAAAAAGAGTTCATTATAGTGTTAGTTGTGCCCCTTTTAATGCCTATTTGGAACTTATCAAATCAACATCTAGTTCTTTTTCATAACATATGCAGGGAATTACCTGGGTTATTTATTTTGGAAGTACAGGAGACACAAGCCTTTAATTGCAAGGGGTTTAAAAAATGGGGATCCAAGCTACAAAATGGTGTCTCCAGATAAATGTCAAAACTTGAATGCTTTACTCTACCACTGAGTAATCTACAAATGCTTGCACCAGAAGATCCTGAAACATTTGACTGTGTATTATATTTTTAAATAATCAAGTATGGAAATTATTGTCCTATTGTAAAATAGCAAATTTTCTACATTCTAAAGTATTCACTCGGCAATTTTGTTTCCATTTTCAATTTTGCAGTAGGCAGGATTTCAAAGATATTTCAACCAGCATATCAAAGATGCTATTCAGACAGAGTTGAGGAAACACACACATATCAGAGGATGAAACTGAGTGTTGGTCTTCTACAAATCAATATCTGAATAGAGACCAACCTATGCAACAGTATCAAACTATCAATACAAATGGTTAACATACCAGTCAATACTCTAGGGGGAATAAAACAAATAAAGCAAAACAATCAAAATACACATCACATATTCCAACATGAGTATTTAATTGCATCATTCCATTAAAAGTGAATCAAAACAAGTACAGGTAAAACTTGAACAATTTTTACAAAAGTGGTGGTACGGAATTGCATTACAACAAGCTGTTATTTACAAAATGCATATCAACTCCCTTACACATTCCAGCATAGCCCATAAATTCATTCTAAAAATGATATTGTTAAAATGACGAGGGTCATGATGGATGTAGAAACAGCTTCCAATATGGCATTACGTTATTTTGTTGAACTGAAGTACCAAAAACTCTAATTCCAAAGATTATGATATGATAAAAAGGTTTTGTAACAACAACAATTAATTGATGAACAGTTCAACTCAATGTTGTTATTTTGACACAAAATGTTGCCATGGTTACCTCTAAGCAAGTACCATCATCACAACCCTCCATAAGCACAACAGACAACAAAGTTATCTGACAAGCTGCCTACCACATCTCATCTTCCCGAGACAGGGAAGTTAACTGACTGTAAAGATCCAGTTTCAACCCTTGCCGAACTAGGCTAGAATTATGGAGTCATATTTTAGCTGGACTAACGAGTCTATGCATAGTCCAATCAATGAAATCAACACCCAGTTCGTCAACTGCAGCCTAGATTTTGGTCAATTGCAGGATTGGCAAAGAATGTGTTCTGTCAACTTAGCATCAACAGATATTTTCAAATCTTTTCATGTTTTTAAATCAAGGTGCTCACATGATTTGATGCACTCCACAAAGAAAAACCCGTTTTATTACAATATAGATCTTGATTATCGATCATGTCATCTGGACAGGGCGCCACCATTTTGTTTGAAGCAAATGCAAGTGAGAGGTGGAATCTGATTGGTCAATGGGTGGACATAGAAGGGACATAACTCGTAATAGTCACTGGTCGGGGTATGATCCAGCCCGGAAATTCCAGTCTGGTTCAACAAGGGTGGAAACTGGACTTTTACTATCACTTAACTCCCTTGCCTTGGGAAGATGATCACATCTAAAGAAATGGTTGTTGTTTTGTATAGCATAGTACAAATGGTTTTGACAATAACATAACATAAGCACATAGAGTAACAGGTTTAACAAATTTCATAATTTCACCATGGTTAATCAAAATAGTGTTTTGTAGAAATATACAGATATTAACATATGATGTACTTGTCTAAAGTCTAACATGCATCAAGACTGACAGCCAGAAAACACTTTGCACAGGTGACAAGACAACTGTTTGGGGTTTCTTCTAGTACCGTAGTTTGTCCAATCAGTATTCAGAGAATCTTCCATAATTTCATCCAAGCTTGGAACTTCACGTCTTATTAGGATAGACTAAATCAAGAGCCGTAAGCAGTGATCGAAAATAAGCATGAAAGCCAAAGGTCCTTGCCATAAGCCTAATGTTACAAGTTAAGCTAGAGAGAGCCACGAGCTTCATACCATACAAGTGAATCTCATTTGCATTTGGTGTATCTCTTGATCATAAAATGCTAATATTATAGATGCGATAAACTAATCTGATAAACTTGGTATCATCATCCAATAAATATGCAAATGAGGTCGCCTAGCAGTAAATTACTTTCAAGTTCCATACATCAATGGGATGCCTTGTTTGTCAATAAACTATATGCTTCTAAAGATGGTGTGCTCTCCCAGTGTACTTGTGTTTCTGTAGACCAACATGGCTGCAAATCGCCAGACACTTACATAATACAACTGTTAGTCCTAACTTATATTTATGAAAACACACAAGGGTATCGCTTAAGCCAGTATTCTGAGCCAGTGGAATAAACTTGCTCTCGGCTAATCATTGTCTGGAATAATATTAAGGCTACATTCTACAGAAAAAGATGCCAAGAGAAAAGTTCAGTTTTGTAGACATCTCTGGCACAGAATTTTATCACTGAAACAATTTCATGTATCTAATTTCTATTGTTGGTTCCACTCCTGCCATCCCCACAGTCAACAATTTGATCCAGCCTTTGTTTCCCTCCTTCATAGTAAAAACACATTCCCATCAAATAATGCACTTCCTTAAAGTTGTTGAATTTAATAAAATGGAACTTGGACAACAATCCATACACTCAGTGTTTGAAATAATTCTTAAATCCAACAAGACTGTCAGGCAGGTGACATAAGTGTTCCCTGCCCGCTGTCATACAATATAAATATTGAAAAACCGAAAGAAACTAAGAGACAAAAAATCACATCTTGATTCAGTTGAAATAATGAAAAAAATAACTTGAGAATCTACAAGGAGTCATAATAAAACTGAATATGTAAGTAGCCTTAAAATTATCTGACAGGAAGAAAATTTCACAGACAAATTACCAGCCACGGGCTGGTGGTCAGGCAGTTATTACAGACCCTGCATATACTGAAAGCTAATCATGCATTCCACAAGCCTAATGTTCAAAATAAAGATTCCTGGGATCTGAGATTCAAATACTATAGAGCAAACCTCAAGGACCCCAGGTTCCCCTTATTTCGAACACTGCAACATTATTGACCAAGTTCACTCACTCAACGATTTCCAACTCTCAAATCTTGAAAGAGTCTCTGCATATATAGAATTCTCTGATAATCCCATGAGTCGTGACTAGAACAAGACTTCTACCTCAGGCAAGCCAGCATGACAAGCCAGCATGACAAGCCAGCATGACAAGCCAACACGACAAGCCAACACAACTGTCAAGACCCCTGCAGATGATTGCATATACCCATCCATAAATACATGTACACTATGTCCAACAGCCTACATTACCCTACTAATCCACACAATACAAACAAACCACTCTTAGCATGTTAAGCCTGGCAAATTTGAGGTATTTATTCAAATTCCTGAAATTAATGATTTCTTGGTGATGTATACTGTATGGTACTACAGTTACCATGGTTACCATGTGTAAATGATGTAAGTTCTACGATCAGTGTGATTACTTGGCAACACAGACTAATGTACGTTTACGTTGCTTGAAACCTTGGAGTATATATATTCATAATTCTTCTTTGATGAAAACACTTTGAATGAGGTTGAAGTCATACAAAAGAAAAGATCAGAATAATAATAAACAAAGAATTAAACATAAACATGATATATAAAAATATCAAGAATATTTAGTGGTTATGCTGTGCACATATATACCTGTTGAGGCGATTATGAATTGTCACAATCTCGCTAAAATCAGATATTTTACTCCGATATGATACCTCTGTGCATGACGACAGAAGGTTGTGTTAGCTGAACCAAGAGCAAACTTTGACCGTCCAATCAAATTAAAGGATGCACAGGTTTGTGAGCCAATCGGACGCTAGCTTTCTAAAACTATTTGGCCTAGATTCACCTCAATTCAGAAATTTTGATTGTGCCAAAGAACAATGCCATAACACATAAACATACCCTCCATAGTAACCCTTTTGGTTGTAGACGCCTTGGCTCCCACAAACAGCAGTATGCATGTCAACTGTATTATAGCATAGTGTTATTTTTTCGCATTAGGATTTCCTCGATCATATTTGAGATAGAGAAATCAGATATGTTATCTGAATGCTTTGGTCAATCATACTGAGAATTTAGAAGACTTGACACTGACAGGCTGACTAGAAAGTTCACCTTACACGACCTCCTATGTAGGATCTCTGATCCACAGAGAGGTATTGTATCGGAATAAAAGATCTGGTTTAAATGAGATCAGAATTATTACATTCACATTCATTTCTGACAAAATTTGGTACACATACCAGCATAGAGTACCATAGAGTTTCAAAGTTAATCTGAAGCCAAAATGAAAGTTGATTCATCATGTTCATTGTCATAAATGAAAATGCAATAATTCATTAATACCCTACAACATTTAAAAGAGAAATTTTACAAATTCCAAATAAAATCATGAATCTATGTATCAAGATGATGTGCTATACACCAGCAGCATGGCATTACAGCCATGGCAATATGTGACTGTTCCAAAAAGATCTGCATGACGTGAATGCATCAGTGAAGTCCTTGAGGCTTGCGAAGATTTTCTTCCCATAGAAGTTTCATGTCGAGCATGACACACAATCAGGGACCATCTCAAATTGTCCTGTTATCCCAAAACACTGGATCAACATCTTAAAAAACTCTTAATAACCAACATATTGAAAAACACAAAAAAAAGTAACAAGATTCATATTCACATATCCTGCATCACTTATTGCAAAAGACAATTTGAATTAGTAGCTTGATAAATTTTGTGACAGTCCCTCATCAAAATGACATGCTTCTCAGTTTGTGCAATGGGAAGGACAGACACTGATAAGATCACAACACTATTGATGTCTGTTGTCCTTCTCCTGACAGACAGAATTCAGAGGTCCGTTCGTGTGTACCACGGTGTGCGCTGGTAGACCATAAGACTTGTCCGTCACACTGTTAACAGGGTCATATAAGGGTGTCTTCCACGACCCTGAGTCCCCAACATCTTCCGTCACCACCAGCAAGAGTTCCTTATCGCCATCCTCCAGCTGGTCCTGAAGGAACTCCTTGACCGCTGACTCGTCACCAATCAGCTCTGGACAGTCCAGCTTTGAGTCCAGGTTGAGGTATTGGTCTTGCACTTTCCGAACAGAAATCCAGTGTTTCCTGTGAAGGGGCAATCGCACAAAGCCCCACTTATAGTCTGTAGGAATATTCAAGATGAAGCCCATGATGTTCTCTATTTTCAAGCAGTCGATGGTCCTGCAACAAAATACATGAAAGGCGTCTTATCTTTCTTTACTCGGTCCAACCCAATTTACCAGGAATGTCATGGACGTCATATGCTTCAAACTCAACCTGCCTGGCTAGCAGACAGCAGAGACAAATAACAAATTGTTCGGGGGCCCGTGGCACAAAACAATCTTAATGCTAAGACTAGCATATATAGGAGTTAGATTGTTATAGCACTAAGATGGCTTTGTGCAAGTGGACCCTGACAAATATTGGTTCAATTTCATAAATTTCTGTGGTGTCAATTTTGCCAAGTGATTGACACATTTTTCTAACTTGGCATTGAGAAAAAAAATTAGTTTTCAAGAAAAGTATTCATACTCAGTGAAAAGTCAAGAGGATTTCCAGAAACCAATCTCATCTAAAGTTTTTCAACCAGATTGTACCACACACTCCAATTCATTTCCTAATCATGCTAATGGCCCATTTCTCCTGTTCCTGATGTTTTTTTCAGGCCAGTCAATCAAAGACATAGATTATCCATGTATACAGCATAGTCAGAATTTCCTGATCACACAGTGATGTACCTGGGTCTATCAATGTTCAAGTCCTGGGAACTCTCAGTAATACATTGAGGGGTGAAGGTGTGGAAAAGGGGGTCCAGGCTGGGACAATACTTTCCATGAATTTTTCAGATGTTATATAATGTTAAGCCAATTATAAATTGGGATTTCAAGACTGAAGAAAATCTACCATTGACACCATGATCTTTGAGCGTACTTCATACCAGAATAGAAATGTCAGTTATCAGTGGTCATATGCATGCTGCAATCTACAATTTTGATAAAATTATTTATTAAAACAGCCTTACTGCATCCCATAGGAAATGCAGCATAAGCTATAGGGCTATAACGATTCATTGATACCTACAAAATCATCAATACTTAGGTACACATGATACATGAATCAACAGTTTCTGAGATCGAGATACACTACAAATAGAACAGGAACTAATAGAGTTACCTCCTGAAGAGAAGCTGCATTGCATCACCTGTTAGCATGGCTGAACACAAGGATGTGGTAGGTGAGGACGTGCTGACTAACTGTTAACTTTAATAACCATCCCTTCATTTAAAACAGTTCTTTGCTAAAGGTTTTGAGATAACAATAAATAAATGTACGAAGAAAGAGATTTTAGAGCTGTAATTCAGTGATTTAATCATTTCTTACTAATTGATGTGGTGTGTTGTGATACCAGTAGTATCGTCAGTCCGTATCTTGATAAGAATCATATTGCACCTATTCTACCCCAGATCATCACGGGTGAGCAAAGTCTGCCGTAGTGAAGGGGAACGTAATGAAGATGTGTAAGGCATGTACTTACTTTCTTTTATCGAACCAGATAGTGTCATATCCTTTTCTCTGAAGTGCCGCCATGATAACGTTTACATCATAGTTACCAAGTCCCAACAAACTTCGATGAGGATTGATGAAACTTGAAGGTGAGAGCCTGTGAAAAATCAAACTTAAAACAGAAGTGGGAATAAAGTTGATAGCTGAAGTTCTACTCTAATTCAGCTACACACTACTGTTCATGCTGTTTATGCTTGCAATCAAAAGAAGAGCAGGACACAGTAACAATAAGTTAGTTCATCCCTGATTATCCAATTTCTACCTCTCAATCCAATTTTGATAAATATTCTAGACTCATTTGTTTCAGAAGTGGCATCGCTGCCCCCAGCTCTCCTTCCTCTAACTTAGGAGAGACTTTCTCTTGCTCCCGTGTGTGATTTGCCTGGACAGCTATTTTTAGCATCATGCCATTCGATTCATGCCCATAACAATAGCAAATTGGTCTAGAGTATTTATCATAAAATGGAGATTGAATACACTGGATAAAATCGAGGATATAATCGAGGATGAACTAACAGCTGCATAATTGTAACCATGTTCTGCTCTGCTTCTTCTTTCCAAAACATATTTCTCTCTCATACATAGTTTTGAATCACTCCTACAATAAGTTTTGTAACTTCTCATCAGCTGTTCCCTGTGTTTGATGCTGATGCTGCAAAGCCAAAGTTACATCTTCATCCTAGATTGAAAATTTGTCCAATTTCAAAATACACAACAAAACTTTACTCCAATCATATTTCATACTGATCCACATAGAGAAAATCACATTCTATATTATGATGATTATTGCTTCTGATGTTGCCATAATGTCTAAAACTGGAATTTATTGAGTAGGTGTTGGATGGACCAAAATTTTCAACTTCATAAACCCAGAAACATAAAATGTAATAATTGAAAATGGGGCTGTGGGAGGTCAAAAGAATAGTAGGATTAACAGTTAGCAGGGTAAAAAGTTAGCATACATAAAAAAGACATTAAATGTCATACTGCATACCACATAGTATGGCCAAAAATGAAGATCTTCGTGATCTTTAGACTCTAAATTCAAGCACTTTTTAAGCAGTTTCTAAGGAAAAACATTTGTTTTCAAGGACCTCTTTTATTCATCCAAAAGAACATCCTGAATACACAATAGCACAAAAGTAGGATATGTTTAGCACTTTAAACTGAGATTTATCAATAACATTTTAACACCAACACAAAATAATGAAGCTTACTTTCTGCCCTCTACTGCCATGGTTGACATAATGTTCATGACCTACTTTCGCTTTCATGTGATAAATAAACTACCGGTACATTCAGTCATACAGTAGGCAAAGAATTTAGCACACATAACCCATAATAGGCAGTGACAGGAAGTAACCAACGCATTATAATTTTTAGTAGTGATTTTGTCATATCTAGCACATTTCCAGCACTTTGATGGTGCACTTTATGCACTTTTCCTCTGACAATGACATGGTTAAATTCAAACACTTTCCAAATCAGTGCAAACCCTTAACATGCTGAATGGGGAAAAAGAACATATTCAATATGAAGATAAACACACTGCATTGACTAACTCCTTGGGTGGAAGCTGAAATCAGATACGTTTTCATACAATTGAATTATGAAAACAGCCTTAGTTTTGTAAGTCATAGTAACCATGGTAAAAACAAACTAAATATCATTGCCTTATATTCATATGTTGATTCAAGTTTTGTATGTACACAAATTTTATTCAAAAAATTTGTTTATGGAAGGTAGATCAAATAGCAACAATGATAAAGAGACAAAATGCCATTATTCAGTTGAACTGGTATTACCCTGAAACCATGACACTTTTTATGGATAGCAACTTCTTTATTTTAGTATTCATCTGATGAAGGAGGAAGAAGTAGCTATGATATGTCATGACAAAGAATATAAGAAGTTGCTATCCATAAAAGTGTCATGTATTCATGGTCTTCCAACTTCTAAATGCCTGTCAAAGACTTTGGTACTACCCTATGCTAAATTATAGTCTACATTCTTGATACTGTCATTGCTATTTAAGGGTACGGCTACATTATTTTCATGATGCAGTTCAGGCTTACAGTAAGCATTCACATTAATTCATGAGTTCCAGTTTTCAAACTTTGTTCTTGTCAAGAGATATCTCAACAGGGTTAGAAATTAATCATTACTTTCACTACTTAGCAAAAATCATCTGTGACAGAAAAAAGAGTTGCCACCTACCTAATGGTAAAAGTGGTAGACCACAGCGTTAGAAATTGGAACTCGTCCTATGGTCCTTGCCAAACTGCCCAATAAGGACTAGTAGAAAAATGCCATTTTTAAGGGTTTTCTATATGTTATCATTATAACTGAAAATGTTAGTTTCTACCACTGAGACCACAAGGAAAAGTCACCAGTCAAAAGTCTCAGACAAGCAATCTTCTGTTAATTTCAACCCATGTAATCAAGGTAAAGTTAAATCCTTAGTTTGTTGTCTAATTCTTTACAACATCAACATAATCAAAATGGTCTTAAATAATTACCTTGTACAAATTTCATCCAGGTCCTTCTTGGTGAATGCATTTTTCTGCTGGAAGAGGTTGTTCAAGGCATGCATTGCACACAGCTCCTTTATTTGGCGTTCATGGTAAACCCCTGTGTCAACTTCTTCTGGCTCCCCCATTGTGCCGCACCTTGCAATATGCAGGCCCATGCCAAGTACCCCACATTCAATCTACCACCCCCCAGACAATGGCACTGTAACATAGAGAAACACATTCTTCAGAACCTTAATCATGAAAAATAGTGTCTAATTACCATGGTTACCATGTCAAAAAGAAAAGAGTGAGTGAGTATGGTTTTACGCCGCTTTTAGCAATATTCCAGCAATATCACGGCGAGGGACACCAGAAATGGGCTCCACACATTGTACCCATGTCGGGAATCGAACCCAGGTCTTCGGCGTGACGAGTGAACGCTTTAACCACTAGGCTACCCGACCGCCCCCAAAAAGAAAAGAGGAAACGAGAGTTGAAAAAGTATCAACATGATAAAAAAAATCAATAGATAGTGGAATCTGTCAAAACATGCCTCAGACTAATCCAGATTTCTGTAAATACCAAACCTCATTCAGTCCCAAATTCACTTTGACAGATAAATTAATATTTCATTCAACTAAAGACCTATGGATGAATGTACATCTTTGTTTCAACCTCAATTATATTTTTTATTTCTTTATCTCTGCTGAAGTTCCACTGGGGTGGTGGGGTAGCCTAGTGGTTAAAGCGTTTGCTCATCACGCCAAAGGTCCGGGTTTGATTCCCATATGGGTGCAATGTGTGAAGCACATTTCTGGTGTCACCCACCGTGATATTGCTGGCATAATGCTAAAAGCAGCGTCAAACTCAACTCACTCACTTACTATAGTCCCTCTGTCTAAACAGGACTAACCTTTCAATTCCTCAGAAGTATTAAAAGACATGGTAAGCATGGTACTTTAAGCCTTGTGGGCTAACATCAATCTCCCTTTCTTTCTTACACTTTCAAGTTTGAACTCTTGACATGAAAAGTACATCAGTAGGGCTAAAATGATAGAAAAAGGGAGATTGCCATTAACTTTAAGAGAAAATCTAACTATGAGACACACTTCCAGAAAAGCTCTAAAATGAACCTTTTCAACATATTTAGCCTTGCCAATACATTAAATGTTGTTGAAAGCTCAAAACATGCAAGTGTTGAAATGAAAAAAAGTCTAATTCCCATTCATTTGAAAACATCTTATGACAATCTTAACAGATACTAAAGGTTTAGCCCATTACTAAAGTTTTGCAGATCCTGATAAAACAACTATGCAAACACTAAGATATTCAGCATGTTCGGCTCATTATAATTTAAGCCTTAATGGTTAACAAATTAACACATTAATTCAAATCAGAATACAAGCAGATATTTTGATGTGTATAATATGGAAGTTATTGGATTCAATGATTGATGAATTGGAACAAATTGATCGATGAATGATGATGAAAAAAAGAATGAGCCCAAACTATTCTGATTCAATGTTAGTGTATGAATGTATCTTAAATACCTTATCAGAATTTTAAAAAACAAAAGCTGCTAAAATATCAATTTTATAATTTTAAAAAATATCTTTTTCTGTCTTCAGCATGTGCAATTATCCTGTGCATGTGATAATTGTTTTACACTGAACAATGAACAAGGTGAGGTGAGGTGAAATCACTGCACTTATATCTTGCATATAGCGACGTGCATGTACGTGTGTGTGTGTTTGTGTGGCTCATTGTACTAGTCCGCACTGATGCCAATTAATAGTGCTAGCTCACTGAGATACCATGCCGCAGTTAATTATAAATACCCAACTCAGACACAGTATACTGACTCCGAGCCAACCAGTCCTTGTTTTAGCCCCTTAATGCAGAGCGCCAGACAGGGCAACAACAAGTACCATCTTTTAACGTTTTGGGGTATTACGCGGCCTGGGATCGAACCCCGGACCTTCCGCTCTCAGGGCGGACGCTCTACCACTAGACCACGGAGGCGGTCGATCAATCAACAAGATAAGATTCTTTTCAGATTTATAAAAATAAGCAAATCATTCTGCAAATCAATCTCTTAAAGGGAAACAACACTCCATGTTTGAAAATATTGAAATAAGGATCGGCTTTTCCTTCAGGGATTCAAAATTTGCTAATTATGGACTATTATTTCGTTTGGTTTGATATGTGTTCGGCAGTATTCTCACTGTGCTAACCAATCAGAATCAAGCATTCATCAATGTCATGGTAGAATTTCAAATAGGCACTCCACGCCCAGATATGGGTGTATTCCGTCTGCTTTAGCATGTTTAGTATACCTAAACACTAACTTTTGAAAAAAACACTGAGCAAGATAACAGTGATTAATCAATCAACGTATAATCGGTTAATCCTTTGATCTATCTTTTTCGCAACTCAACAGACCATTCCTCTCTTGCTGCACTGCCATATTACATAACAAGTAATACATTCACCACATAAGACTTCAATTTATAACCCAATCTTAGATTAATTAATTACCCAAGACAAGAGAAATGCCAATCATGAACCACTGATTCAACAATTGCTATATATCCTTGACACCCTCAGAGGCAGAGGTGAAAGTTATTGAGTTATTTTGCATAGTCGTTGTCAGCTAATCTGCATGGTTCTAGCACTAATCTGCTAATTGTACCTGTACAAAGTCAGTAACAGGCATCAAGTAAATGACGACAAATACACACGTGTAGGTCATGCCATGAAACACGAATGACAAGAAGGGAGTAGTAATTGTACTACATATGCAATTTGCTTGAAAAATAAGGGCTACTGCTATTTTGAGTGTACGAAGTGAATTTCATTTTTACATACATATTAATTACACGCATTTGCTGTACATTAACCTCATAATTGCACATACACATTTACACACACAGACAGATTTGCAAGGTGAAAGGTTATAGCAAGCACCATCGCATCAAATGCAAGGATTCAAGGGAATTACCCCTTGCTGTCAACTAAGTCCCACAATTGCACTCTCGGTATCCAAAGCCCAGTTTGTTGGGTCGCGGATGCTATTTGGCATCTAGACAACTGAGAGTTGGGGTGTTGTTTCTCTTAAGTTTGGTGCATAAGTTTAGACTACACTCACCAAATCAACCAATGCATACTTTCTATATTTCTCAGAACTTTCATCTTTTCATGCTAAGAATGACAGAACACTTGAATCGTATTTCAGTTACTAACACAATATCAGTTAGGCTCATTTACGTCAAATACTACGTGCACCGACGTAAATTCATTCAATATAATCTAATAAACGCTTTTTTGTAAATATTAATCACAAATCAAACTTCATTATCAAAAGGGCCCCAGCAACACACATGCTTCAACTTATGTTTTGTAAACGGCATAATCATATTGTTCACAAACAATGGGCTTTGGTGGGGTCTCATAATTACCAAGTATGATGTAATGTGTCGTAAATCGGTCGAACATAATCGTATTGACAGTTCAAATGTCACAAAATGAGAGCACAACAAATCCAATCACTAAACCGGAAGCGGTAACGATTGTAGGATCGCAAGGAATATAAAAATTCATTTTCGTCTTATAATAGTTATAACGTTATTGTCGTATTCCTTTAACATACATTATAATTCTACAAGATCACATGTGCAATTCTAGGTGCTTGAAATATTTCTTTTACATTGATATGCAATCGAGCTCACCACTGCCGAACAATTTAATTGTTACTTCCGGTTGTAAAATAGTGATGACATGGTGGTGAAAGCAGACAGCGACCAAAGTTATTGAGTGTTTCTGTTGCAACCATAAGCAAGGTATGTTTCAGTACTATTGCACCAGCAGCAAAGTTCGCCAGACTACATACATAGTCTGATTGTTTTGTAGTACAGGGCAGTGTAATGTATGAAGCCTTCGTAGTAGCAAAGAAGCCAAGACAAACTGTGTCGCTTGATTCGATGTGGACAGAGAAGATATATGCATCATACGTGTTTGGGGATGTGACATGAATTTCTAAAAAGGAAATTTAGTTGTGTAGATAGTGAAATGTGAAGAACGGTCATCAAAGTCAATGATTTGCACCTGACAGTAAATAATCAGGTATGCGTTCGTCCATACATGGCCAGTAAGCAGCTGGTAAGTGGTCCAATTATGGTAGTCGAGCCACATGCGTTCAACAGCTGTCGTGACAATGTACATTCATCATTAAGAAAATAGTGATTTATTAGAAATATTTTAACACCTGTTTTTTTGTATACGTATTTAAGAAATGTTGAAGTGATTTACTTGCAGCATTTGTGGTCAAATGAAAATGCAAACTATATGTTCTTGTGTATATTGATGAAGTCTGTTTACTTTCAACTCTTATCTATCATGCCAATGTATCCAAGTATTCTGTTAGATATATTAAGTCACTAATCATGCCAATATTCATTCCACCATGTTCTCTTAGGTAAGGAAATTATATATCTAATAATATGTGTATGTGATTTTTAGATTTTCTTCATTTCAGCTTGTTTTGTTGATTGACTTATTTTATGACAATTCTTAATAGTTTATTCACTTTTCTTCAGGTCTGACCGCTTCACAGGTGTTTCTTAAACACCTATCAGTAACAAACATGATTTTAAGGATATGAAAAGAGCTTATGTTAATGAAGAAAACTTTTTGCCTACAATTTAATCCATCAATCATACAGTCTACTTCCTGATTAAGTGCACACCTTATCCCTTGAAAGTGAAGAGGATATTCTGATCAAGAAACTCATTTGTTTGTAACTGTTGAAAGAGAAGAGCTAGTATTTGCCAATAGCATCATGGCGTTTGCAGTTGATTGCAATGGTCGTGACTCTCCAAGTTTGGAGAATGGAGAGAATCTGTTTGGACCAGAAGAGGAAGTTGATATTGATATGGAAATTGCACCATTGGTATCAAAGGTATGTATCAATCAGTGATGGATATTTTAGATTTTTTAGAATGTATAATGACGATAATGTAAGAAGTTCTTATGACTTGATACTGATACCTATTTTGGCTATGGTCATGATGATCAGTACAGGATGTAACCGTGGTAACACTGACGATGACTTCAAATTATATTAAAGTTATAATGGTGATGATGAATCATACAGGGTTTGCTGCAATCTAAGTAGAAAATATGCAACATTTTTTCCCCACTCAATATTCTTCCTCAGTTGTGATGCAGATTGTTCGGTCTATCAAAATCAATAACTTGATTGCACTATACAGTCAGAATATTCAAATCTGAAACAGACGTAAAATACAACCAATATCAGCTTTATTTAAAACTGGAAAACCCAACGCCTATAAACAGAACAACCTTCCTGGCAAGCTATCAGTGGCAGCCACTCAGAATTAACCATCAATTCTTGCCCACTAGTGTGCTTGTATTTGCTACGGCACTTGGAACTCCCACAATGAGCCAATCAAGAAAATATTGCAGCATAAAGCTGACACAAAAAGATGCAAGTATTGCATTCCGTTTAATGATAATTAATTTCAGAAGTTTTTCATCACACAATAGTATCACATTGACAAAATCTAAAATCTAGCTTTGATCATGCTGATGTTATTTGGTTTCAAATAAACAACGGATCGTACTACCTCAAAGTGCGAGACAGCTGGCTAACAGTAATGAGTTGATGTTTGCAACTCAATTTAATTTGTTATTGTTTCAGATAACCCTTTGTGGTTAAAAAAAACCAAAACATATAATTTTTTGTTCGTACAGTACTGACCAGCAAGTCACATATGAATAGTTATAATATTATATAGCAGATGCTTCCTTAGTTATGTCATTTTCTTAGTTTATGTCAATAAGCAAATGAAATAACAAATACACTACCATTTACTTAGATCAACAACTGTGCAGATAGTAGATAAGTATGTGCAATATAATATAAAAGCAGCATTAGTGAAAGAAGATAATGTTTTAGATTAAGAAAATAATGTGAGTTGGTGAGTCCGGTTTAACATAAACTTGAACAGTATTCCGGTTATTGCACGTCGTGTCAGCTTAATGAGTGGGGGGGGGGCGGGGGGGGTGCAAAGTGATGCCGGTCTTAGACATTTACCATATTGGTGAAACCCACAGGCATGGGTATGGTTCTAGCAAATCTAGAAACATGATTCAAACATATGATCGTAAATTTCTGGCATGCCCAAGGGACATAACTCTGCACAAACGGATTGCGGTGCATTAGATGACTGGGTCACCCGTGCCCACTCGAAGTTGGTAAACAGAACCTTAATCCATAAGTAAATCAAGCCCCCAGTTTTAACATGCTTTGGCACTGAGCATTACTAGGATGCTAATTAGTAGATTCACAATAATTCACAAGCTAATTCTTTTGTCATTCTGCAACATGCAAGCTCCAACTACACGTTACGTCAATATTTTGGGTCATTGCACTCCTAGTTATGGCCCCACCTTTTGTTCATTTTCTATGCTAATATTAATAATAAATGTTGTATTTCTCATGTTTATTAGTGTTTGCCTGGGCATAACATCAGTTATTACCATATTGTCATGAATTTGGAAGGCCTTTAGTTACCATGGTTACAACATGTACAATTTTGGAATTTTTATTCATATTTGTTTCAAACTTGGGGTCAAATGTAAAACATGCAAGATGACTATTTACTGCTCATAAATACTGCTGATATCCAGTAGAGAGATGGAATGGTTTTATTCGCCATGTCACAAATTTGAAAGAGTTCGTTTTTGTTGCAAACCGACAGGTTTCCGTACCAGCCAGGCCAAACTATATCGCTGCTACGTTTCATTCGATTTGTCGTTCACTGAAGCATGAACCTGGTGTGTGTCTTTAGTAGGATGACTTTTGACTCAACATTCACTCACCTTCTTTTAATGAGAGTGTCAATTAGTCCCTCAGGGCTAATGCCTAAAGGAATATGGAAATGAGATTCATCATGTTCATGGTACTGTCATGTTGGTCTGTTTTGGTTTATACTGGCTGTCACCATAGTTGAGCTCGCCAAGGCTTGCTAAATACAATGGTTATTCCTAATACAGGATATCTACCATCCTAAAACACACTCACATGATAACCTCTATTTATCCATTCTAACATTAAATAGATTGACACAATAGCAGATAACAGCATGAAGACATCCATCATAGTATATAGGTCAAAACTGTAAGCTTACATACAAAGCAATCAGCATGATCAGGAAGTGGAGGTCACCATTTTATTAATTTTTACGTGAAGTTTACATGATAATTAATATGGCATGCCAGACACCTTTGATCATGGGAGTGAATCATAGTTTGCTCTGATTATGTTTCTAGGTTCTATCACTATAATCAGCACAATGCTCATGCTCGTAGGTCTAAGACCTGCTTCACATCGGCATCTGTAGAAACTAACATTGTTAGTCCACTAGTCCTTATAATGATAACATGTAGCAAAACCCTTTAAAATGACAATTTTTTTTACTAGTCCTTATCATGCTTATGATACCTTAAGTATTGGACTACAGGACTAGTGCCAATTTCTGACTCTGCATCAGGCTTTTCCCCCCACATAAAATTGTCACTCCATGATATAATCGAAATACAGTTCATAGCGGCATTTCACCAAACTCACTCACACTCTTCATAAAACTTTCTTGTTGTCTAGAATGCCCTTGTGAGCCCTACCAATGAAGAATATGAGTCTCTCCTGGAAGAGATCAAATCTCGGGCAGATGATGGACAGGGAGAGACGATATTTGAGATTGGGACTGGAGGTATGTGAAAAGTTTAATGATGCTGTTTGTACAACAAATGCATATTACCTGAAATATTTTATTATGTGTCTCTGAGCATGCAGAGAGGAGAAACTTCCAACTAAGATTAGGATATTTTGAAAATTTATCATTAATTTCATTATGTTTGTGTGGATTTCAGTTTTAAAGAATACTTAAAATAGGTAAAATTATGACATCACACCAATGTTAATCATATTTGTCCTTTCTGTTTGTTGTTTAACGCCACACTCAGCAATATTCCAGCCATATGACGGTGGTCTGTAAATAATCGAGTCTGGACCAAACAATCCAGTGATTGACATCATGAGCATCAATCTAAACAATTGAGATAAGATGAAATGCATATACCAAGTCAGCAAGCCTGACCACCCGATCCCGTTAGTCGCCTTTTACAACAATTTGCCTCTTGCTGAAGACCTATTCTAACTCGGATCGTCACGGGTCTTATCGGTACTTACCATATCGATAAACTCACACACTGAACAGAAACGATTCTTGCTTGGGCTAATGTAAATTGGGTATGTAAGTGGATATTAGGATGTAGGAACAGCTGGTTTCAGAGATTTATCATATGGGCCTCCAAATTAGCAGCAATATCACAGCACACAAAGCTTTCATGTTTCCTGTTTGTGGGGTAGCTTAGTGGTTAAAGTGTTCACTCGTCATGCTGAAGACACAGGTTCCATTCACCGCATGGGTACAGTGAGTGGAGCCCATTTTCTGGTGTCCCCTGCCGTGGCATTGCTGGAATATTGCTAAAAGCTGCATAAAACAACACTCACTCAACTCTTTCGTGTATGTTGCAATTGGTGAAAATTAGCCCAGGACTGTTATACTACAGGTATGTACAACCAGCAATTTAAGATGTATGTAAAAAGTTACCTGAAGCCATGTAAATGTTATGTCTTAACCCCTACAGAGGGAGAGAAGCCTGGGTTGAATGACCCCGATTTCCAGGCGTCTGCAGCCACACTGAAGAGCATTGCTGAAACACTACAGATGGAAATTGTACCACTAAGGGAGAGAACTGCTGCAGAGGGGAAAACAGCTGAATTCCTTCTCAGGAAAAGATTAGACTCTGAGGATTTCATGGAAGTCAGGTGAGCTTTTATTTTTACTGTATGAGTATTCTTTTTCTGAGTCTGTTTCTATGAGTCAGTGATGTGTATTTTAGGTTTTCATGATTCACAGATGTATCAATGCATCACAAATGTGTTATAGGAGTATTGCAACACCCCCATCATGTTTATAGTTGTATACCTGTAATATGCTGCCTGTCCCTCAATTCTCCAGGGTAGTAAGCAGGGGGAGGGTTTGCAATGGGGAATTGGGTACAGAGTCAGTCTGTTATTTTAGCCACTAGTCTTAAGCCCGAGTCGATAAAATTCTGTTCCATCTAGTATGCTCAGCTAATAATAAGCCATATAACACTCAGTCGGCTGAAAATGATTCCTAGAGCCATGTCCGGGCTAGGTGACTCAAAAGTTTTTGGCACAGACTGCAGATTTCGAGTTGTGTAAAGACCCTAAGGATACTCCTAGATAAACTGAGAGCACCATCGTGGCCTAGTGGATAGAGTGTCTGCCCAGAGAGCAGAAGGTCAGGGGTTTCATCCCTGGCTGCATCATACCAAAGGCCAGTAAAAGATGGTACTTGTTGTTACCCCGCCTGGCTCTGGGCATTAAGGGGCTAAAACGTGGACTGGTCAGCCCGGAGTCAGTGAACTGAGTCTGTGTTGGGTATCCCATGTTACACTGCAGGTATCTCCAGCACCAATGAACCGGCAATATTCCAGAAAGGTAGAAGCAGCCACACCCACACACGTGTGTATGTCGCTATATAAGTGTCTTGAACATGAAAACCACTTTTCACCTCACCTCACAGATGAGTCTTTCTGTTTCAGAGTGGCAGTTGTGGGGAACGTAGACGCCGGGAAGAGCACCCTCCTGGGTGTGTTGACCCACGGGGAGCTGGACAATGGTAGGGGTGTGGCCCGACAGAAACTGTTCCGACACAAGCACGAGATGGAGTCCGGCAGAACCAGCAGCGTCGGCAACGACATTCTGGGCTTCGACACAACAGGAAATGTTGTCAACAAGCCTGACCATGGGCATCTAGACTGGATCAAGATATGTGAAGAAGCAGCTAAAGTATGTACACAGGGTGATAGGCAGGATGTTGAGAAGGATTTATGTTAAAGCAGTGATAGAGGCATTTGTTTAATGAGGGATAACAATTTGTTATACAGTATCATGACAAAAGAACATCTTACAGTACACCATAGGAGAACATAGGCAAAATGACTGCTTTATTTTTAATTAGAGCACTCCTAAAGGCTCAAGTCCAATAGGCATGATAGGTGATTGTCTTTCTTTCTTTCTTTGTTGTTTAACGCCGCACTCAGCAATATTCCAGCTATATGACGAGGGTCTGTAAAATAATCGAGTGTGGACAAGACAATCCAGTGATTGACATCATGAGCATCGATCTCCGCAATTGGGATCGATGACATGTGATTGTCATTTTGGGACACATGTAGTAGAATTATATTCTGTTTCAAGATTAGCATTATCAAACTATAGTAGGAATGGTTAACTACAGATGTGTGTCACAGATATTGACAACTGGATTGTCTGGTCCAAACTTGATTACTTATAGACCGCTGTCATGTAGCTGTTTGGCATTAAACAAGAAACAAACAAATATTTCTGCGTATTGATAATGTTTCACCCACATTTTCTTCCAGGTTATTACTTTCATAGATCTTGCTGGGCATGAGAAATACCTGAAGACTACAGTGTTTGGGATGACTGGTCATGCCCCTGACTTTGCCATGTTGATGGTAGGTACTAGGGCTTGCTGTAGTGTTGATTCACACCATGCAGGGTTATAACTTAACACTAGCCCGCTAGCCCAGGCCTAGTACAAATACCTTCAGGCAACCGGGTTTAGTAAAGCTTTTGAGTTTAGTTCCAAACCTGGATATAACAGTAATAACAAATGCATGTCTATATTGCACTCTGTCTATCCACATTTAGGACTAAAGCATGTTTATTATAAATGCCCGTGCTCGTGGGTTTCACAGAAATGGTTAACGTCTGAGACCTGCATCACTTCGGGCTTTCCTCCAACATCAAGCTGACACATTGTGATATAACTTGAATACTGTTACAGAGTCGTTAAACCCAACTCACTCACTTACTCTTATAATATAAATGCATCAGTGTGCATTCAAATGACTTTCTCAGCAGAGCTGCCTTGGAAATACAAGTATAACTGAAGCTGCCTTTCAGGTGCTAGAAAGGGAATTCCGTTGTAACATACTTAGGTCACATGTTACTTTAGGTCCTCCAGCCTTTGGGTATCTCTTGATGGCTTCCTTTAATTTGAGATTGGGCTCACATTCTTAAGTCTACAAACTATGTGTTTATCATGTCTAAAGTTCTGTATCATGTATATAAACAATGTTTTTATCGTGTCTCAAGTTCTGTATGAACCGTGTGTTTATCGTGTCTTAAGTTCTGTATGAACCATGTGTTTATCATGTCTTAAGTTCTGTATGAACCATTTGTTTATCATGTCTTAAGATCTGTCCAAACCTCGGTTCATTATGTCTTAAGTTCATAGTTGAGTATGCACCATGTGTTTATCATGTCTTAAATTCTGTATGGACCATTTGTGTATCATGTCTTTAGCATGTTAAGGTCTGTCCAAACTATGTGTTTATCATGTCTTAAGTCCTGTATGAACATTGTGTTTATCATGTTTACAGGTCGGCTCCAATGCTGGAGTCATCGGCATGACAAAGGAACACCTCGGTCTTGCACTTGCTCTCAACGTTCCCGTGTTTGTCGTCGTCACAAAGATCGACATGTGTCCTCCCAATGTGTTACAAGACACACTCAAGTTGTTACAGAGAATATTGAAATCACCAGGATGTCGGAAGATACCAGTTCTTGTTCAAAACCGAGATGATGTAGTTTGTTCAGCAACCAACTTCACATCTGAAAGGTACGTTACTTGGGTAATAAGTCTTGAAATCATGACATTGTTACCACAATCAGTTTGGTCCGAAGTATTGCTAAATGCAGCATGAAACAAACAAACAAGCAATAGGAAAACCAGAGCAAGTTCTTACTAATGGGGGAGCATGGATGGCCCGGTTGTCTTAGGTGCAGCAATTCACTGTACAGAGTTACATCCCATGAGTGTAGGTTCAAATCCCAGTTTGCCCCAATTATGTTTCTAGGTTTGTCAGCACCATACCTGTGCTTGTGGGTTTCACCAAAGTTGTAACACCTGTGCCACTTCTGGCTTTCCTCCCACATCTAGTGATATAACTGGAATACTGTTCGAAGCAGCGCTATACTTAACTCACTCGCTCACACTGACTAATGGGGTTTCAGCTTACATCTCACTGTAATATTTCTCATGCAACATGTGCCATAGCCCATCTTCCCGAGACAAGAGCGTTAACTGACTTTAAATGTCCAGTTTCCACCCTTGCCAAACTAGGCTGGAATTACTGAACTCAATCGTAGCGCCACCAGTGGCTATTACCAGTTACGTCCCTTCTAAGCCTCTCCTATGGACCAATCAGATTACCGCTCGTATCACTTGCGTTTGCGCCCAGTCAGAACGATCTGATCGATAATCAAAGTCTATACTGTGATAAAACGGGTCTTACATTGCGAAATGCATCAAACCATGTGAGCACCTTGATTGAAAACATTTGGAAAATATCTGCTGACAACAAGTTGGCGGCGCACATGCTTTGCAAATCCTGCAATCGTCGAAATCTGCACTACAGTTTACGAACCAAATTTCGATTTTGGTGCGCAATTTTGATTGCACTATGCATAGACTCATTAGTCCAGCCAAAATGTAACTCCATAATACCAGCCTAGTTCGGCAAGAGTGGAAACTGGACTTTTATAGTCAGTTGACTCTCTTGCTTCGGGAAGATGGCCATAGCCTTGCGACCATCTACTCACACATTGTCTCAATATCAGGCAATAGTAGCGTTCACACAGAATTAATGCCAGGAGTATGGCTCTTATGTCTTCAAGGAGTTGCACACAGCCTCTTTTCATTGCAACCCATGCTTGTCGTAAGAGGCGACTTACAGGATCGGGTTGTCAGACTTGCTGACTTGGTTGATACATGTCAAACTCATGGACCTGGTGTTGCTTCTGTTCATCATGTTCATGATACACATTATATGTTGTTTCATCTTTATTCAGGATGTGCCCAATCTTCCAAGTATCCAATGTCACAGGGGAAAATCTAGATTTGTTAAAAATGTTCCTCAACTTGTTATCAACGCGAGTGAAATGTGACATGCAGAAGCCAGCTGAGTTCCAGATAGACGACACATTCTCAGTACCTGTAAGTAGCCCTAGGGTAAATAGTAATGGTTATTTATCATGGAAAATGATGCTGAACAATAGGATGGAAATGATGCTGAAGATTTGACCTGTTTAAAGTAAAACAATATCAAGTTCCAAGATACAATTAAATATTCCTTCCTTGGTCAGCCACAAAGTTTTTACCAAAAGAAATTAAAATACCAAAAGACGTTAAAAGATAGTACTTGATGTTAACCTGCCTGGCGCTCGGCATTAAGGGGCTAAAACAAGGACTAGTCGGCTCGGAGTCAGTATACTGAGTCTGAGTGGGGTATTCATGTATAACTGCGGCATCGGCCCGGACAAGTACAATGAGCCACACACGTGTATGCACATCGCTGTATAAGTGCAATAATCAATGTTAAACCCTATTTCACCTCACCTACAGGGTGATGTACATAATGAATGTATCATATTGTCCCTTGAATATTGTTCTGAACAATGATTGTCTGGAAGGTTGGGTTTCTAGACTAACAGGATCCTGCCTCACAATTCACTGGACTTGTTTACTGGCAATGTTTTTGTGACAGAATTGGCTCGGAGTTAGTATACTGTGTCTGAGTGGGGTATTCATGTTTAACTAAGGGTTGCCTCAGTTATATTTTGGCTGTCATATCTTCTATAACTTAGACCATGTCACTGACACTGTTAGTTTGGTTGCAGGGTGTAGGGACAGTGGTTTCAGGGACGTTGCTCCAAGGCTACATACGACTGAACGACACATTACTCCTGGGGCCCGATGCACTAGGGCAGTTCATGCCTATCGTTGTCAAGAGCATACACAGGAAGAGGATGCCGGTGAAAGAGGTCAGAGGAGGTCAGACTGCATCATTTGCCCTAAAAAAGGTGAGGAAATGTTTCATGTCACACGCAGCAGTATTCCACATGTAACAGCAGCCTGTAAATATTCAAGTCAGGACAAGACAAACCAGTGATTGATATTATGAGCAACAGTCAGTGATGTCTTGGTACAATGGCCGCAAACAACCATGTCACCCAAACTGACCACCACCCATTGTGTTGTGAGGCGGTCGGGTAGCCTTGTGGTTAAAGTGTTTGCTTGTCATGCCAAAGATCCGGGTTCAATTCCCGACATGGGTACACTGAGTGAAGCCCATTTCTGGTGTCCCCTGCCGTGATTTTGCTGGAATATTGCTAAAATCGGCGTAAAACCATACTCACTCACTCACTCCTTTAAGTTGCCTCTTAACGACCAGCATAGGTTGCTGGGGGGGATTAGTGATAATCACAGTGTTTGTGTCACTTTGGAGGTCACAACAGTACATTTGTTGTGCATCTGACTTATTTGAAGTGTGAATTGTTTCCTTCATCTGTTTCCATGAGACCGCCTCTGTGGTCTTGTGGTAGAGCGTCCTCCCGGAGAGCGGAAGGTCCAGGGTTCGATCCCGGGCCGCGTCATACAAAAAGACGTTAAAAGATTGTACTTGTTGTTACCCTGTCTGGCGCTCGGCATTAAGGGACTAAAACAAGGACTGGTCGGCTCGGAGTCAGTATACTGTGTCTGAGTGGGGTATTCATGTTAAACTGCGGCATGGTATCTTAGTGAGCTAGCACTATAAACCGGCATCAGTCCGGTCTAGTACAAGCAGCCACACACACACATACATGTGCATGCACGTCGCTATATAAGTGCAATAATCTTGGACGCGACGTTAAACCCAATTTCACCTCACCTGTTTCCATGAGGTGGTGTTTGAGTTTGAATCTGAACATTTTTCATTGTGTGAATCCCACTTTTTGTGTCACCCACATGATATTTCTAGAATATTGCTAAACGTGGAGTAAACCACATTCACAGAAGAATCCTGTTTTCCTGTGTATAATTTTAATGTGAAATTTGTGACCTTGTGAAATGACCATTGAGAAATTGATGCTTTCACACTTGGTAATTCACATAAAAATAAAAAACAATCTTAAAACGTTCAGTTTAACAATATTGTCATTGTTTTTAGATTAAGAGGTCGTCAATACGAAAAGGAATGGTGATGGTGGCACCCCGACTAGAGCCCAAGGCATGCTGGGAGTTTGAGGGAGAGATTCTTGTTCTACATCATCCGACAACAATAAGTGTTCGTTATCAAGCAATGGGTAAGCGTTTTATTACGTTTATTTATCATACCTCAAATAAGAATCTTGCAGTTCCATTGATTAATCTGTACCATGTGACGAAACCTAACATTTCAATGTTGAACCCAAATCACGTTACTCACACTGACCTCTGATATTGACTTATATAATCAGTATTAACCTGTGACAGGATGAATATTGAACATTTCATGGTTCGAAGCTAAGTATCTGTAATAAAACAGAGCACGGTCTCAAGGTTTCTTAAACTTTAAAGTACACAACAAATGATTACTCTCGACGAAGTCAATATGTGAAAACAAGGAGGCCCGCCCACTTTGGCGGTCTGATCGCTGCGGCCTAGCTCAGTTCAGAAACAAAATCTGTTTGTTGTTTAGCCACACTCAGCAATATTCCAGCTATATGACGGCGGTCTGTAAAAAATCGAGTCTGGACCCGACAATCTAGTGATTGATATCATGAGCATCGATCCGTGCAATTAGGATATGATGACATGCATAAACCAAGTCAACGAGCCTGACCACTCGATCCTGTCTGTCACCTCTTACGACAAGCATGGTTTGCTGAAGACCAATTCTAACCCGGATCTTCACGAGTAGAACAGATGATGTACACAGATACCGTGATCAGTTTGTTTTAACCAAGTTAAATATACAAAATAAGATGCCTCCTTCCCAACTTTGTTTTATCTTTGTTGATGAAAATGTAATAACTAATATCTTGCTATGGCCTGACATTCAGTTTTCAGAGTATTGTAGCTGCTTTCGGATAACTTTCCATATTTTTCAAAGTGATTAGGGTACAATTGAGATGTTTTGTGTAGCTACACATGTACCCTATATATCTAATCTTCATATATCACTAATCTCACTTTAAAGAAACCTTTTGGATGGATATCTCAATAGTTAATAGTTATCATGTTGGAATAGATGGCCATCTCTTCTAAGGCGCAGCAATTCGCTGTGAAGAGTTACGTCCCATGGGCATACCAGAAACCTATGATTGTGGGTTTAAATCCTGATTTGTCCCAATTATGTTTCTCGTGGGTTTAATCAAAGTAGTTAGTAATAGTCTGTGGTCTGCATCACTTCAGGCTTCCCTCCCAGGTCAAGCTGACATGCCGTGATATGCTTGGAATACTGTTCAAAGCAGCATTAGCCAAAGTCATTCGCTTACTCAGACACCCTTGATAGGGTTCGGATCCCATCTCGTCCTGAGTTTGTTTCTAGGTTTGTCAGCAGCATACCCATGCTCTCAGATTTCCCTGAAGTGGTCTGAAACCTGCTTCACTTCGGGCTTTCCTCTGGCATGAAGTTAACATTCTGTGATACAACTGAAATACTGTTCAAAGAGTTGTTTAACTGAACTCACTCACTCACACATCATTGTCATATTTCTCTATGTTATTTTCAGTCCATGTAGGGAGCGTAAGACAGACAGCCACAATATTAACAATGACTGGAGACCACTTAAGAACAGGAGACAAAGCAATTGTCCGGTTCCGCTTCATCAAGAACCCGGAATACCTGAAGACTGACATGCGGATGGTGTTCCGTGAGGGCAGAACAAAGGCAGTCGGGAACATCACCAAGCTGTTCCCCCACATCAGCGCAGTTGCACAGAACACGCGGCAACAGAGGGCAACCAAAAAGGCGCAAGAGAGCAAACACCAGATTAATCCTCAGAACGAGCCACAGAAACCTAGCAAACGGAACCGAAGATCGAGACATCGGCATGACGATCACCATGACGACGGGAAGGAGAACACAGACCATGGGAGTCCAATTGTGAATGCCAGTGTAGTGAATGCCACCTCTGCAGCAGGCACATCCAAAGCACCATGAACAGTTAGCACAGTTGGTGATGGCCGTATTTTATAAGTTGATACACATTGGTATGACATGAGTTTGTGCATCTGCTGATCACATAAATAAAATTTAACTAAGGAATCTATGTGTACAGATGAGAAGTATTTATACATTGTGTGGTATATCCTTGAAATTATTGTTTTTAATTATTTGTGATAACTAACAAGAAAAACAAGACCTAAACGTGTGACTATCCTTGGACAGATTAGGGTAAAACAGCATCCCTATGTGGCAGCAATACTAACTATGAATATTTATTCTTTCCTTTACAGTCTTCACTCTTCACTCTTTACATGAACGTGTTCTGTTCACCTCCCTACAGCTTGCTTATTTTTAGTGATGGTATAATGAGCAGAATAATTCGCCTGTAACAATCATCATCGAAAATGAAAGTAACTGAGACCATTGTCTCATTTAATTAATGTTTTTACCCCCGAATTAAAGGGTTGGTGGTCAAAATAAAGTAATAATAATTTCTTAAAACACTGGGTTTTATTAACAACTTTTTAGGAGTGTAATGTAGGGAAGTAAATCTGGGAGTGTTTCAATGAAGTGTAAAGGGATACTCTCCTTCCAATTTTGATCTACATTCACTTCGAATTTTATTTTACATTACAGAAATTAGTTCACTAGCATGGTGAAAAGGAATGCATGCATTTAAGAAATTTGTGAAATTTCACCATTGGATATCCACTAACTAACAAATTTCTGAAAACCCCAGCCTCAAATGGGATCTCTCGCAAGCTTGACTGATACAGTGTGTTATCGCACTCTTATGACACAGACTAGTGGTGGAATTATCTCCCCTTGGCTGCTTGTTACCGTCCTGCTCACCAGGCCAGTGTGATGAAGCTGAGATGATGCTGACCACAAGCCCTACTCACTCTGTACAGTGCCTGGCATGTTTCCTACAATGAAGTCTCAAAATGCAGAATTTATGATGTTTTGCAGACATCAGAGATAATTCTGTCCTTTGTCTTCGTAATTGACGTGATGGTACTTGAGGTATATTATTCATTGAAATGATCGTCTTATAATCAAAGAGTGGGCACGGATGGCACAGTCATTGTCAGTGTGCAGAGCTACATCCCTTAGGCGTGTTGTGATCCTATAATTTTGGGTTTGAATTCCAGATTCGTGCTCATGATGATAATTGATTTTTCAGCTCCAAACCTATGTGGGTTTCACCAAAACTGTAAACGTCTGCAAACTGCATAATATTGGGCTTTTCTCTCACAGAAAACTGACACTGATTTAATGAAACACTGTTTAAATCTGCAGACCACCACAATTCACTAAATAATGAAAATGAGATGGGCATTGCACCCTGCAATAACATATGAGCTTTAATTTAATTACTGGTATATATATTCATATACGGTATTAGTTAATGACAATTATGTGTTTGGATGAATCATTTGAGATGAGATTTGTTTGGAAGTTTTAAAGAACACATACTTGTAATATTATGATAGTTTGCCATATTTGTCTGAGTTGTATTTGTTAATTGAAACAGTTTTATAAATGACAGCATTGAGAGTTCCATGTGTCAGTATCCTGCATCTTCCCCAGGCAAGGGAGTTAACTGACTGTAAGTGTAAAAGTCCAGTTTCCACCCTTGCAGAACTGGAATGGAATGGGCTTGTACACCACGAGACCAAAGCTTGAGGTGTGGACATGAGCGTTCAACTAACTAAATCCTGTATTCCAGGCTACTGACACATGTTATGATTTTATCATTACGTATTCACGAATACATTCACTTATTTGCAGTGAAATATGTTTATATGAAAATATCAGATCTGCCTTACCAGTGTTTTCAGTATGGAAACTCAAAATGTGAAAAGGGTCAATTATGACATAAGAAGCAGATCACGTCATATGAAAAACTTTGACGTCATGAGTTGTATTGGTTTTTACAAGACGGCCACTGGCCACTCATATTTTTATTACGAGTAAGGATTAATTGAAATATTGTGAAAGTACTAATCGTTCATGATTCGGGTAATCCACGTCATTCAGTAGCTTGAGGATTGTTGATAAAACATAAAATTACATATGGTTTGACTTTATTTCAACAGATGGATTCTGTCATTTGTAAAACATTTTTCTGTTGACAATCTTGACTCATGTACTTGGCATATCTAATGGCAGTATAAATGTGTTTTGAGCAAAACTGATGTGAACGGTGATCATTCTCAATGGCTGATTCACACACACTGCACCCAACTGTTTGAAAATAACATAATGTAGTTACAATGATCATGGGCTCGTATGACAGTCAGTAACAATAAAAAGTATAAACGAAGGTCAAGAAAAATGTTTTAGTGAAATACTTGTGTACCGGTATACTGAAATTCAAAATGTGAACCCTTCCCCACAGAAGTACAATTTCAGAAACTTCAACAAATAGATTTCTGCCATTTCTTACCGATCTGTTAAGCATGTATAGCGTGAGCATCTAGTCTGCTTGTGATCTGTGTGACTGTATATCACACCACAACCTAGACGGTGTTTATACTTTATTTCGTGTTTTTGTTAGTTTTTTAATGTGTGAAAACTTTATATGATACATTTATAGATCATTTACATTCATAGTCATTTTCATTTCATAAACAAAATGCAACTTAGAATTTAAGAGAAGTTTTGCTGTGAATTATGCTTGACTTGGTTATAAAGATGATATACATGAAAAGAGATTGAAAATGGTTCAGAGGCAAAATATTTAAACAAAATGATCAATATCAACAGTAAGAGATGGCTGTACCGAATTTGTTAATAAAATGTGTAATTATTAAGAGAAAATGCAGACATATGTAGTCCAATGAAGGAAGGGTGTTTGAGGAAATCCACAGAGATAAAATGACAAGACTATTTTAAAGTATTGGAGTAGCCGTGGGTTTAGCTTGACAGTTGCTTATGGAATAGGCTCATCTCTGTATTAGTGAATGAATGCCACTAATCTCTGTTATTTTACCATCGTCAATACCTCACTGGTTTGGATACACTTCTCCATCACCCGTGAACACATATGGCTGATTTTCAGTATAGTTTCTGTTTTTAACAGACAAATCAAGCAAAGGCCTGGTTCGAGTGAGGTCTCATACCAATGTGCACTCAGATTACATACCAATGAAACACGTGAAGATCCGGGCTAGAATAGGTCTTCAGCAACCCATGCTTGCCGTAAAAGGCGACTAATGTGATCGGGTGGTCAGGTTTGCTGTCTTGGTGGATGCATGTCATCATATCCCAATTGCGTAGATCGATGCTCATGATGTCAATTACTTGATTGTCTGGTCAAGACTCGATTATTTACAGACCGCCATCATATAGCTGGAATATTGCTGAGTGTGCAGCGTTAAACAACAAACAACGTACCAACACGCGCTCCGATTACATACCAACGTGCGCTCAGATTACATACCAATGAGTGCTCAGATTACATACCAACGTGCGCTCAGATTACATGCCGAGTGCTCAGATTACATCACACAAGTGTTATTTTCTTCCCACAGCGGCCATCTACTCTACACATTGCTTCAGTATCCGGCACAGGTACAGCCTCATCACATTAGCATATCAGTTGTATGTATTCATGGATCATTGAGGAACCAAGTGTATACATACCCATGAAATATTCACCATGTTACTTTACAAGCTTGGCTCTGACAACTTGCATATATATTTGAGTACGTTTTGATATAGGTTAAATTGCTCAGCTCTGTGTCGGCAGATTGCGTATCAGCTTGTGTGAAAGTTAAACATGCCCATTGTTCAACTCATGCCATTAAATGTGTTTAAGAAATAAACCCATACTCAATTTCGCTTGTTGAAATTGTTTATAATGTGTTTGACATCGATATGTTAACAGATAAAAGGCTGATGCTTTTCCTCTGCCCTGTGGCAGAGTTGCATCCCTTGGGCATACCAGGATCTGGTGATTGTGGGTTTGAATCCCAGAATCGCCCTGAATATGGTTGTTTGTCTGCATCATACCCGTGCTTGTGTGTTTCACCAGAGTGGTAAATGTCTAAGACCTGCATCACTTTACGTGATGTGACTGAAATATTGTTCCAAGTGGCACTTACTCACACAGGCTTTTCATTTAACTTCAAGTTCTTCATTTTCAGGAGGGGCGGTCGGGTAGCCTAGTGGTTAAAGCGTTCGCTCGTCATGCCAAAGACCCGGGTTCGATTCCCTACATGGGTACAATGTGTGAAGCCCATTTCTGGTGTCCCCCGCCCTGATATTGCTGGAATATTGCTAAAAGTGGCGTAAAACCATACATACATACTCACTCACTCACTCACTCACTCACTCACTCACTCACTCACTCACTCACTCACTCACTCACTCACATACATTTAGGACAAAATGAAATAGGACTGACACATGTTCTGTTTTTTACAGTGACCACCCATTCCTCATTATGTAGGGTCCAGGTATTGTGTCCTGAAGACCTACTTACACCCAGAAATAAAAACGATATAGAATAGGTTTGGTGAACATCAGCACTGCTATAGATGAACTATACTACTGAAAAGAAGTCAACATCTGATTTTTTTTCATACGACTAGTTACTCTGCCAGATTAAGAAAATATCAGGTGTTTGTTAACTTTTTTGAGAAGTATATATGACTCACTAGTCATTGGTGAAACATTTCGCTGTGCATCCCTCTGCCATGCAAGGATCAGTAATCATGTGTTCAAATTCCAGTTTTGTCCTGATTATAATCCTTGGTCTTCAACAAAGTGACTGCTGCCTAGCAACCAATGTAGGTCATGGATCATGGTGGACAGGCACAGTGATTTGGTCATTGTACTGCGACAGCATGACTTGTTGCGCACAATTTTATCACTGGATTGTCTGGTCCAGACTTGAATATTTACATGCTGCCATCGTTTAGCTGGAATATTGCTGAGTTCGGCGTTAAACAAAGAAAACAAATCCACACCAAGTCGATAAGGCATAATCAGCTGAAATACAGCGGTGTGGGTGTCCGCGTCATCTAAGGCACCACTATTCCCTCAGCACAGTTGTGACCGCGGCGTGCCAGAAAACTGATCACATGCTTATTACGTTTCTAGGTTTGTCAGAACCATTCCCATGATCATGGGTTTCACCAATAGTCAAAAGTCATTAAAACAACTCACTCAACTGAAATACTTTTCCAAAGCAGTGTTAAACTCAACTCTTTCACACATTCACACAGCATAGTCATGGTCCCAAAATATTTACAACTGATCTTTTATACAGGATATGATAAATCTTTTGAAAACAACAGAAACATTTATTAAGTGTAAGCTGTTTATTTAATAGAATATTAAAATCAACACATTAAAGACCAGTATGATTAGTTGCTAAGGATCAACTAATCAACTTTGGCACATGAAGAAAATACATAACTTGTATTAGGAATATGCATTAGAAAAAGTAACTGACAAATTCTGATTAAAGATACTTGGCTACTGTTTTCACAAATACTGATATACCTAACTCAACTACAAAAGCAACGGTGATTATCTCAATTGACAAAATTCTAAAAATTGTTGTTCAAGCTGTAAATAGTATTTGGGCAAACAGTATCCTTGATTGAGCATTGTCTCATTCAGGGATGGAAACAATTTGTGAGTTTTTATTCAGAAGTGGGAAGGCTCAACTTTAATAATAAGACAACTTCAAACAGGAATCATATTTTTTCCAAATTCCTGATTTTTGAGTTGGCAAACCAAGAAATAGAAAATAAAATGCCTCCTGTGCTTCTAAAGATTCACAAGCTGTTAAATATGAACATGATTAGTTACTTTTTGGTTTTAGTATATACCGTATTCGACGTAGTAAGCGCCCGGTTCTAATAAGCACCCACGGCGGTATTTGCTAATATATTTGATAGTGAACAATCCCAATTAGCACCCCTTCCGATTGATCAATGTACTCAAGACTTATTTATTCGTGCATAATACGCACTCTTGTTTTATATGCACCCTTAATTATGGGCAATTAAATTCGGGAAAAATATATCTGTCATTATAATACGCACAGACTTTTCTTTTGTATTATTCAGGCTGTCGGCATAAACCACGAAATTTACTATCTTTCAACTTTTTTTTTTCACCAAACTTTTATTCTAATAAGAGCCCCCTATTTCTAATTTTGAGAACTCCCTGGGCGATTATTAAGTCGAATACGGTATACTACAAACCACCCCATTCTTTCATGTTATGAAAGAATTAGGTGTTCTTTAATTTCTTTTGAGTGGTATATTAATCTGTCGGTCAATGTTAACACAAATACACTGTATTCCATAATCAGTACAATAGTCCAAATGTCAACTCTATACGATAGTTTGACTATTTCAACAGCTTTACAAAACACTCGTAGCAATAGCTCATATCAAATGCAAAACATGCCACCAAAAAAACTCCCCATGAAGATAATAAAATAGCATTACAGTATCACATTAGGCAGCTGATCATAGATGTAGAATAACAATAGGTATACAAGAGAGATTTGAATATTAAATAAATATTGCAACAATGAAACAAACAGCTGCCAACCATGCACTATAGGAGAGTTGTGCATCCTCACTGAGGTCAGGATATATCACACTAGGGTGCCAACACCCTGTAGGTACGACAGATGCCAAGCCCTGTCAAGTGGTATTCCAGATGCCACAGTGCAGTATGCTGGATGCCATGAAATATTCAATTCGTAAACTTATGCCAATATTCCAGTGTTGAAAATAAGTGGTATGCCGGATGCCTAGACTCAGAGGGAGTTGGCACCCTCAAATATCCTACATCCCCTTTCTCCAAACTGTAATACTGTTTATGTTTTGTCTAGTGGTTTGCAACATTTATCAGGTGCCGAAACCATAACCAGAAAATTCTAAGCAGTTGAGTTGCAGAACTTGTGCCCAAACTTCTGAAACTGGAGGTCAAAGATTTTCTATTGGAGTGAAATGCATCATGTTGGCTAATTTAACAAAACAATATTGTCAAACAGGATCATTCCAGTTTGCAGATATTGTTCTCTTAAATGAGCGAACGGAACTGAAGTGATGAGAAAGTCAGCTGTACCCATCACAGCTCTGAGGCCAGACATTTGGGGGTTTTCGGCCTAAAAATTTGTGTTAGTAGGTTGAAAAAATAAAAATAGAATTGAAATTTCAAATTAGTTTTTTTGCAACCTCAAAGTGTTAAATGGGTAGGAAAAAAGTGATAAGGAGAAAAAGGATTTTTGTATTTATTTTATATTATTTTAAATATGGTATTAATATTGAAAGCAACAATAGTTTAAAACATTTTATTTATTTCTGGTTAATGAAAAAACAACAACACTGCTGACTGTCATCTCTCAGTTGACATTTGCCTTGTAGATCACACTTTTAAACATACATTTCAAGGAAATAACATTGAGAGATGTAACCCTGTCTATCAAAATGCATGTGAAAGCCTTTGAACTCTACACTACCATAAAGGAAAGAAAATAACATAACAGCACTAATACGGTCTGTAAATGTGTGATGTCACTGATAGAGGCCAAAGTATGGCCAAATGTATTTATATTCCAGTTTAGTAGACTGCTAAGTTTCATAAGAAATTGAGGAATATTACACATCTGTAGAGGCGTACCCATCTGGAGAGATCATTTTCTTAACTAATGGCAGTCACACGGCATACATCGATGACGTGGCTCACATGACTTACACAGATCACATGATTTATATACTAACATGACTCACCAACTCACGTAGATCATATGACACACATTAATCATATGACTAATGTAGATCCCATGACTCAGATCACATTACTAACAAGGATGACATGACTCAAACAATTCACATGCCAACATGTCACACATGGATCACATGACCCACCAACTCACATAGATCACATGACACACATTAATCATGTGACTAATGTAGACCACATGACTCAGATCACATTACTAACAAGGATGACATGACTCAAACAATTCACATGCCAACATGACACACATGGATCACATGACCCACCAACTCACGTAGATCACATGACTCACATATTTCACAAGACCCACATGGATCACACAGACTCAGACACATTTACTTGACTCACTTGTGTGACAAACAACTCACCCACATGAAACGCAATTGACAAGACATACAGCAGTACTTCTGTGGCGGAGTGACTGGAAGATACATGGTAGTATTGGAGACCTGCAGAGCTTTGTTTCTGATGCCAGGACGGTGAATATCAACCATAAACAATAGGGCTGGGACGGGTAACTCGGGTACCCAGTCGGGTAGGTCCTGAGTAGCACCCGGGTACCCACAGGACTACCCGGACCCGTGGTTAGTAACGTAATATATTGTTTAATGACAAAAACTCACTATAGCTCAGTGGTTACACAACAAGTCGCTTATGTTCGCATTTCTTTCTGACGATGCACACATTCCTTTTGACTTGTATACGTAAAGATAAAGCTTCAGTCAACTTCAGTGAACACATGATCTGATTGTTTGATACATGTATCTAAATAGTTTTAGCCAGGGCTGCGGTAAAACAATTACCAATCAGACACTTTGTTCCCAACTCTTGAAACTTGCAGTGGGTACCCGGGTAGGGCCGGGTAATAGGGGGTGGGAACCCGGGTGGTAAATTTGGACCTGTCCCAGCCCTACACCTGAACATCTGCAAGCAGGACGTTCATCATCGAGAAGATAACATGGATTTCCATTAATCATACACTTGTGTTTTGGATTATTTACTTGTAAAACCCCAGCTTCATCTTCTAAGCCAACATACAAGCGGAAATAATATATTTTAAGAAATACAAATATATCACAACCAAATCCATGCTGATATTGTTTCCTAGTCAACCCTTGACCAATATAAGATCATTGAAAAATCACAACGTGTATCGGCAGAATTGAGCAGGATTTGTAGGAATGCATATTATGAAGATATATACTCCATGAAGCATAAACATCAACCTGAATTTGAACCCTTCAGTTTTACATTTTGAAAAAAAATAATTATTAACAGACGTTTTTGCTGTGTTCTACACACTGCCTATCAAGATCCATTTCACAGAGCAGTCCTAGTGCTACTAATGTTATATTAAAGAATTGAAGTTACAAAGTCGTAAAGCTCAAAATCCACTTTGCAAATACATCTGGTGAGTTTTGTGTTACCCAGTGTACAATTTCATGGAGTTATATTGTCTAATAGATCATCTTTGTTTGCAATGCCCTGGTTTGTAGTTTGGAATGATAGAATGACGGGGGTAAAAGATTCTGTTCTTCAAAAATGTTCTTTCACCTAGTTTTTGTTTGTACAATTTTATGGGCGGCCATTCGGTAAAAAAATACAAAGTTGAAAAAAGGACAAAAGTATGCAATTAAGATCAAATATTACGCATAAAGAACTGTGAGTGCACGAGGAATGACGTAATACATTGTGCACCTCGGCATGCAGTTATCATATACACGGCGGAACAAGCCGATTAAACTTGGAATGTTTTACAAATTGCAGCCCCATCTGGCGTTCTTTATTGTCAACGTCCTTTCATGCTCACAGACGTTCTTTATTGAAAATGTCCTTTCGTGCTCACTGACGTTCTTTCGTACACATTGTTCTTTCTTTTCTTATGACGTCTTTTCGTAACATTTGACTATTAATATTGCAAACTTTTGACATTTATTTCAACTTTGTATGTTTAACCCTCGTCTGTTTGTTTTGTATTTTGACCTTAAGTAGTAAGATTTAGTTCTTTATTCGTAATATTTTATCTTAATTGCGTACTTTTGTCCTTTTTTCAACTTTGTATTTTTTGACCGAATGGCCGCCCATACAATTTAACATTGGTGGATTTGTAAAAGATCGCCTGTTCCATAACTATTATTGGCAATCTTTGAGTACTCCCTGACATTTATTTGAAAGCAGACAAAACGGAATCAAAACAATCAAAGAAGACATCAGCATGCTTCTTCTGGAAGATCAGTGTCGGCCGCAGGCGGATGGCCACATCGCCACAACTCCCAACATGGATTCCTGGTAAAAAGAAAATACAGTGAGATTTGTTTCTCCAGCACAAAATGGGAAAAAAACAACACAAGGCTCTGTGGCTCACCTGAATTATGACAAAACAAATATGACTATGACAAGTATCTCTTAGATAAGCATGGAAACTTTCATTCAAGTAACATCAGTAGCTTCTGAGAAAACTTGTAACCATTGCAGACACTATGCACTAAGCTGAAAAGCATTGAGCAAGGGCCATAACTCTGCCAAAAAATCATTTACAGCACCAATTTTCAAAATCATTTAAGATCATGACCAGATATATCAATGTGTAAAATTTAATTTCTCTCACTTAAATAGTTTTTGAGAAATTTTGTCCTCTTTGAGAAGTGGACGGACGGACGGACGGACGGACGGACGGACGGACAGAAAGACGGAAGGATAGGTGGAAGAATGTTTCTCAGTCCCACCCTAATAATGACAGACTGGAATTCTTTTTGCACATTTTAGTGACACCATTCACACAAGTTTCCGCTCCATAGGCCTTGTACATTCATAGGAGATATGAAATATAGAGCCATAAGGTTCGGTACCTCTCATGATTTGTAAGAAATAATTTTATGACACTTCAACCTTATTTTGGTACGAACATCAATAGTGAGTTACACAAATATTGGTGCAAATGATTCTAAATTCTAGGTAAAAGAAAAAGGTATTACAAAACAAGGTTGAGTGGTAATAGTAATGCCTTGCACAAACTTGGACATTCTTCTGCCCAAAAAGTTTAAGCCCTATATATTTTTTTAAATATTTGTTAGAATGAAATTACAATAAAATCACACAGATTTTACCGAGATAAGATGTTTTCATAAAAAGGAACCTTCAAGCCATATTTCACCTTCATCAGTCAAGCAATATCAGAGGTGACTATATTAAAGAGCATGGTAAAAGTTCCAAGGTCTTTCCACTACAAAGGTCAATGTCAATGTCAGGGTTACTGGGTTTACAGGGTGATGTAGACCGCCTCCGTGGTTTAGTGGTAGAGCGTCCGCCCGGAGAGCGGAAGATCTGGGGTTCCATCCCCCGCCGCGTCATACCAAAAGACGTTAGAAGATGGTACTTGTTGTTACCCTGTCTGGCGCTCGGCATTAGGGGGCTAAAACAAGGACTGGTCGGCGCATTCATGTTTAACTGCTGCATGGTTTCCCACTGTGCTAGCACTATAAATCGGCATCGGTCCGGACTAGTACAAGCAGCCACACACATGTGCATGCACATCGCTATATAAGTCCAATAATCAATGTTAAACCCTATTTCACCCCACCTACAGGGTGATGTACATAATGAATATGTAATATTGTCCCTTGTATATTGTTCTGAACAATGATTGTCTGGAAGGTTGGGTTTCTAGACTTACAGGATCCTGCCTCACAATTTCACTGGACTTGTTCACTGGCAATGTTTTTGTGACAGAATTCACAATCATTTCACTTTAATTTGGTAATGATTCCACTCGAATCATGATGATGGGCATCCCATACGTTACCTTTCTCTCTGAGTGCCAAGATCGCCTTGTCTCGAGTGGCAGAGTTGTTGAAGTCAATGGAACACAGGGATCCAAGGCCTCTGGCATTCTTTACCACCCCAGGAAACTTGGTCTGAATATGAAAGAATTAAAACTGAAATCAATCCTTGTAGGTGTGGTGAAATCAGAAGCTTCTTCTTAAGGTCTGCCCTGATGCAAGAAACATTTGATGCAGTTTGTGTCGAAAATTTGTGATTGAATTTTCCGATCAGTGGTGAACAAAGTCATTTTGTTATCCAGAACTTGCTTCCACATGTGACATCTCTCAAGGAGATATCACTGCGATATAATTGTTATCACAATACTTTGCAGATCATTGTAACTTCATCATGTACCATGACGTTGCAGTGACATGACTGGTTAGAGTACTTTTTACACGCATTTAGTACTGATTACAAACTGAAAAAGTTGGAAGAATGATATTGGATGATAAATAGAATCTCACCCTCATGTCTTTTGATACAAAACACATTAACAGTTGAAACTCATGTAGATATATTTCGTATCAATTGACACGAGGGTGAGCATTCATCACCACTCGCCCCTTGCCGTAATCTGCAAGAAGACTCATCCCTCTATCGATGAATGTTATGTGTGAAAATGCGACAAACCAATCAAAAACCAATCAAGTTCTTGGGTCAAAGAATCCCTCATGAAATATTTTTGATTTTGCATATGTCTTGCATCTAAAAATATACCTAAGGTACTTTTAAATGTGTTCATCTATACTGTATAATACCGCATGTCCCAATGTGCTTTAAACTGCATACGAAATTATATCATATATATGGGGAAATATATGTGAATCATTACGCAATGAGTTGACAATTCTTTTAGCTATGCCCCCTTTGCGCTTAGACTGAAGCCGGTCCCAACAATGGCCACGAGAGGGGCACAAGCCACTATTCAGCTTGTCCCCGAATAACTCGAGTTGGTCACGAATGGAGGGTGAGATTCTCCATTAGTCTGTCACTATAGGATTTACACAATGTTGTCATTTTTCTGTCATTAGGCCAAAGTCACGGCCTAAGTTCAGCAGAAGTTGCTTGTGTACATAACTACCTCTAATCATTGTCTGATAGAGAATTTATGAAAATATCATATACTTAAATGTGAAGGCTGAGTTTTCCGAAGTTGAGAAACTGATGTTTCACTGCAATGAACATAAAACTTTGACGGAACTATAGTCATACAAGAGTGACCTCCCCTCAAATTGTCTCCCTTTATCATAAGTGTCTGGCCCGTACAAAAACTGTTGACTTCCTTTTTACTTTAATTCCACATTGACAAGGCAAAAAAATTATAGATGGTCATTTGTGGAGTTTATATCGCTTCGACCCGTTTGTTATTCTCTTGACACTGTAAATTTCTCGAGACTTGGAAAAAAAACACGCCATTTTTGTTACTTGACCAGCGTGTATTCTTCACTTCCAACAGCGAGCGGTTTAGTATTTTTAAAGTATATTTTTTGTTAGAGTTGATTTTGTACATAATAATATACAGAATTTTCTTGACCCTAAATATTTTTTGTTACTTATGTTTCTGGTTTTTTTTAAGATTTTGCAAACACGAAACTACGTTTTTGGTCGCAAATACAAGAGGTGGTGAACTCTCCCTGTGTGTTAGGTAGGGAGAATTTCTGTTTCAAGGTTTTACATTTGTAATGAAATGATTTAATTTTCAGGTAGACAAATACACAAAAATTATATAATAAATAATGTCTCTCATGAAATAACATGTATCTCTCATCTCGTGACTGGGAAAAATGAGATATTTTCACTCATGGCTACATCACTCGTATATAGAGCCACTTGTGAAAATATCTCCTTCCCCCCATCGCAAAATGAGAGAAACATGATATTTCACTCGACACATGAAATACCCTTTATATATTCTGAATTGATACTCACATGTTTTAAACTAGGTGTATAGATACAAATAGAAAAATATCATTAACAGCAATTTGTTTTATTATGCCTATCGATTATAACTATGGACAATGTGATGCATTGATAGTTCAATTAATTGTTACACCCCAAGTATTAAGACATAAATTTAGATGTAATGTGGCAACTGAACGGAACTACCTGTGCATCCTTGAGCCCTTGCTGTAGGTACTCCCCTATGTTGGCCATGTTGGTCACAAGGTTCTGGCTCTTGATGACCTTCACCACTTCCTCCAGCAAGGTCACCTTGGCAGGGTCACCAACCCACGTGTTGAATATGCGGAATCCCTGGAACATGGAAAAGATACAGAACTCAGACTATGTGAAATGTTTACCTCATTACTGCTTTGATGAGTCATTTCCATCATTGCTGATGGATCTTTGTTTAAAAAGTTGTTTGCTGTCCAATTGGATTGTTTGCTGTACTAAAACATTGTGATGGCATACAATACATGACAGCAAAATGGAGACACATAAAACATGAAATTTGACAGTTTTCATTTTAAGGGGCCAAATTTAAAATTTGAACCCCTCATTTAAAAACGTTTTGGATACACCACTGATGCTTGCTATAACTAAACGCTTTAGCTATTACTTCCAAAAACAGAAGCAGCTTCAGGTTTCATTATTGTAATTCCCTCCTCTGTGGCATACAAAAGAAGGATGCAGAAAAACTACAGTGTGTTCAGAATACAGCTGAAAGAATTCTGACAAGAACACCCAAGATAGAACACACAACTTTAATATTGACTGAACTAGTGAACTAGAAGGCAACTTAAACTACTACTAACAAGGCAATTCATAGCTTGGCTCCTGCAGACTTACAGGAACTGATAGTACCATACAAGCCTGCACATTCTCTCCGATCAAAAGATCAACGTCTGCTAATGGTGCCAAAGTCACGTACCAAAACATATGGCAATAGGTCATTTTAACATGCTGGCGGATTGCTTTGGAATAATCTGCCACAAGAAATCTGAGAAACAGAAAATCTGACAAACCTTAAAAAGACACTCAAAACCTGTCTCCTCAAGAGAGCCTTTGACTAAATCTATCATGGTCTAAGCGCATTTGAGCAGTTGTTAATTGGAAAATGTGCAAAACAAATTCTCAATTTGATGTAATTTAAAAGCTCTGTCACTGCTGTTTTCTGCCAGCTTCTGAAGTTTTGAAATATCACCAGGTATTTCCAGTACTAAAACATTACTTCCAGGCCTTGACTTTAATAAACCACTTTTTAGATTCACCAATTACGTCTCAGGACAGTCGCAGGACTGTATAAGTAAAAGAGCAACAGTAAATCCCAATGAATGATACATCCATGTTTCATATTAACTTCAAAAATGACCTTGACCTTGATAGACATGGCACCAACATCTTATGTTGTAGTATCTGTAATGATACATGCAATTACAAAGTCATACGCCTGTAGTAGTATTCATGCCTCAGAAACTGACCATCCTAAACCATGTTTAGGAAAACTGACCTTGACCTTTGACCAAACCTGGTCCCCATTCTAGAGAAGCCATAGACCAAAGACGTATATACGTCTTTGCATAGACCAAGGTTAGTGGTCAATGCATGAATAGTGATCTGAAGAGTAACGACAAACCTTCTTGTGAGGTTTTCCCACTCATGATCTTGACTTTCATGTGTCAAAAGAATTCCCCATTTGGAAGTCAATGGAAGAATAATCCCTAATGTCAATAATCTGTGCATAGCAGACATTAGAAACATCACTGGCAGTGCCGGTCGAATTCCAACAAAACCTTAAGGCAGTCTCATTTCACGGGGCTATATAAAAACTAGGATGAAGGACTCAGCATGTACTGTCCATTTATTGTTGTGGTATCAATATGTATGTCACACACTATTGTGATGCCCCGAGCTATCAAGTGGTGTTGATGGCAAGGATTTTATCACCTCTTTTGGTCTGTATTGCTGTCTATAATAGAATCCCCCTGTCAGCATCTTCTTGGCAAAGGACACTGTGTCTGGGGGCTCCCTCAGATTCCAGTGCTCATGAGCCCAGAACTTCCCCGTGGATGCACAACCAGTCTGAACTTCATCAATCAACAGGCCGATAGTGTTCTGGAAGACATTAGATGAACCATTTCTCACATGTTCCTACAGAAATCAAGCATATTCAGATATTACAGAAGTATTTCCTGGTGCCAAGTTTCTAACAAAAAATTCAAAAGTAAATCAACCAAGCTCCTCATAGTGATGGCCCACGAGTGGAACTGTCTATACTTTCACTGCCACCTGTCACAGCTCCCCACTCTGCTAGGTGCTTTATAACCATGCATGGAGTTGAAATCACGACTAATTAACAGTTATGTTAACACACAAGTGATGACTTCCACCCACTTTAAATAGGTTTGTAAGTATCATGTAATTAGTATTGTGAGAATGTAAATGGCAAGATGGGTGCTTTTTCATTAGTCTGCAATATCAAACCAAATTGTTTAAAAAGACAAAGGGGCATAACTCTATACACCATTTTTTTTTTCTTCACATATGTTTATTTCACCTCATATACAAAAGTTTTAAGAGGTTACTATAAATGAATATTTTTGGCTCTTTTTTCCGTTTTGCCACAATTTTGAAAACAAATTCCATAAACTATTTAATATAGGGATCGTTTGTCATTTTCTGTCTTTTTAAAAATCATCACACAATGGACAATCCATTAAGAGGACACATCAGTGTAGTTAACCCCAAAGCAATATGATTTATTTGTTTGTTTGTTGTTGCACTCAGCAAGATATTGCAGCCAAATGCCTGTCGATAATAGAGTCTCGACCAGACAAACCAGAGACTGATACTATGGACAACAAGGGAACAATGACATGTAATCAACCATATGACAACACATGACCCACCAAATCCATTCACAATCTTGTCAAGCATTGGCAGGTGGCTGGGGAACAAGTCTAACCCAGAATCCCCACAGGTAAACCAAAGATAACACAATAACATACAAACACAATTTTCCAAAATATTAGCTACACCTGCCGTATATGACTGCGGATAAGCCGACCCCGTAGATAAGCCGAGGTGTTAACTTGACCATTGAATTACGAAAGAAAATGATATGACCCGCAGATAAGCCGAACCAGGAATTGAAAGGCAAAAAACACTGCGAAGTTGGACTGCACGACATGTGCCGGTACTTGCAGATATTCAAAAAATAAGATGAAAAACGTAATTATATTGAAAAAGTCATTATTATTTCTAATAAAGATTTAACAAACCAGTCATCCCCTTTCATAATGTGGGAAGCTGTTTCTCTTGGGTATTTTTTTCCTTTACCCGCCTCTCTAGCAATATCCTGTAAACCCACACTCCGGCGCAGTGGTGACAAATAGCATAACACCACTGCCATTGGCTAATTTGCAGAACATTTGACCTGACTTTTCAGAAATGACTGGCCTATGCAAGCCTTTCAGAGAGATCTACATATTGTTAAGCATAATTATACAGAAATGCTACTACAACTGCAACAGTGAAGTGCATTACAATATTTCTTATACACCAAAGTGGCAGTATCGCTAGCTCTCTGCAGGTCCCCGAAGAGCGGAGCCATACAACCAATGTAAACAAAGGATAACTATGTATAACTACTCAAATGGAAATAGTTTTTCACATTTTAGGGTCTCCCTTTACCCACCTCTCTAGTAATATCCTGTAAACCCTGGAAGAAGTATGCAGTGGCGTGGTTGTCTCCCCCTTCACACTGTATGGGCTCCACAGCAATTCCCACCACAGGTCGGCCTTTCTTCTCGTATATCTCTATCAGATCTCTAACCTGTACAAACACACTGGGTCACACAGAAGGCCTTCTTTGCATGTATTCATTCACAAGGGATATTCAAGTCACTAAGTTTTGTTATCGCCATTTGGACAGTATATTAGTTACATCCCAGAATGTCAGTTTAATACTGGGGGGGGGGGGGGATATTTAAAGCCTATAAGCAGTGTTCAAAATAAGCGACTGCCCTTATAAATATTAGGTCCGTGGCAGGTAGATTGTGTGTGAGGCCCATAGCTTCAAATTTTTGTGGGTTCTGCAGTAAATTTGCATCTCGATTTATTTATCACAATATGCTGCATGGATGTTTTTGGCAACTTTTTAGATTTCGAACACTGCCTATTATACAAATAATTACTCTTGATGAGGTCAATATGCGAAAACATGGCCCAGAGGGCCTGATCCCTGAGGTGATCTGATCAGACCGAGGAAATGTATTGTTTCGACACATGGTACGGATTAACCAATGGAATTGCAAGATTTTTAAGGTATAACAAAAGACATACAAGGTATCCCTACTCTGATGGTTTGAGTCAATGCAATAGTACATGAAAAGTTTGAAGTGAAAATAAGGTGTTTCTTATTAGATACTGACAATAGGGCTGGAACGAGTCCAAATTTACTCCCCGGGTATCCGACCCCCTATTACCCGACCCTACCTGGGTACCCACTGCAAATCTCAAGAGTAGGGAACAAAGTGTCTGATTGGTAATTGTTTTACCACAGCCCTGGCTAAAACTATTTAGATACATGTATCAAACAATCATGTGTTCACTGAAGTTGACTGAAGCTTTATCTTTACTCAAACATATACAAGTCAAAAGGAATGTGTGCATTGTCAGAAAGAAATGTGAACATTAGCGACTTGTAGTGTAACCACTGAGCTAGAATAAGTTTTTGTCATCAAACAATATATCACGTGACTAACCATGGGTCCGGGTAGTCCCGTGGGTACCCGGGTCCTACTAAGGGCCCAGCCAACCCGAGTACCCGAGTGACCCGTCCCAGCCCTGACAACCCAGTCAACTCTTGTGATATTACAGTTTTTATATATCACAGCGAACTGTAAATAATCAAGTCTAAGAAAAGTCGACCTCTGCCAATCCGTTGCTACACAAAACTGACCTCTGCCAAGCATCTTTCTTCTTCCGCCCTGTTCTCCTGTACGAAGTCCTCCAGTGGGTATCTCAGCTCAGGGAAGGAGGCTGCTGGCCAGAGAGGTGTTGGGAAATCCAACTTGTGGATTGCTTTAGAATGTGTTACTGCAAGCGCACCTGTGAACAGTAATGGAATCAGAATAAACATTTTATCAAGGGATGTGTGTAGCAGCCATAAAATGTCCGAGTCCCGTGTTGGGATTCGAACCACGGACCTTCTCATCAGAGGTCGGACGCCTTGTCCACATGACCAAAGATGTTAACCCTGTCAGCAAGCTGACAAGGTGAGGATGTCATCTGTGGGATGACCACGCCCGGCTACATTGTCAAGAAACAATCACATCAATCAACTCTTCATATTTACATATTATAGAAGTGTCCAGTTTGGATTAAAATATAAAAAATAAAAGAATTTATATTTCAAAATCTGGAATCTTACATTTCCTGCATTCAGCATTATATTGGTTATAGCAGGTGCAGGTGAAAGTGTAAGAGTGAATATTATCGTACCCTATTTTTTATCCCGGGGATGAAATTCTCTAGTGTCAGGATGATTCTCCCTAGTGAATTTGGACCCATACCAGTATGTTTAATCTTATCCTATACTATACTCTAGAGTAAATCCAATCTCATTAAAATCAGATCTTAGTTCTCGCTATCGCTAAACAAAGATCTGAGGACATCCCACGGGTCATGTCAGAACGACCTTTCATCCGACCAATCAAAGCATCTCTTATCAGATCATGAAAGTGACAGTCGGAATGTGTTTTCTAGTCATGCAACCTCGAAAAAATTATATTCCGGATATTCCGAACGACAGTTACAGCCCTTACGACTGATTCCGTCAAAATTATCGTCTGTCTCTCGCTTCCGTGGGATAAACATTTGAACAGAGGAGGCATTGCACAGTACGTGGGAAGCACTGCCATACAATCTCAACTATATATTAGACATTCCGGAATGTTTGTTTGTTCAGTTTTCAAAATTTTAATCGAGAACTGTGTCAATATATTTTTCAAGCGTAGTCTGAAAGGGAAGTCGCCAGGTTGAAGCGAGTGCCATTAACGCTCGAGAAAGCTGCTTTCTTATTGGCTGATGTTGACTTCTTGTTAGCCAAATCAGGGGTCGGTCAAAGTTCGCAAAAGGTTGTTCTGACGTTACCTGTAATGGGATGTCCTCAGATCTTTGTTTAGCAGCAGTGAGAACTTAGATCTGATTTTAATGAGATTTGAGTAAAACTTCCCCCAGGATAATATTTAGGTAGGATATAATCCTTGCTTACAAAAGCATGAGTCCACTGTATATTAACACATCTAAAGCTGGCGTCCACTGTATATAAATACATCTAAAGCTGACAGATCTCAAATCACAAGGTTGGTTGGGGTTGCCTTGCAATGCACACTTGTCCAAACCTCTTTTGGTACAATATGTACAGCCTATCCTTTGTGGATTTGCTTCCATTGTCATAATGCTTGGATATTGCTAAATATGTTGTAAAACCACACTCACTCAAGTAAGGAAAAACAACAAATATCTGCAGCATTTTAATGCTGATGCTTCCTGTTGCATCCTAACCCATAGTTCTGCCGTGGAATGCCCCTTTGAAGCTGAGGATGCTGAGATCAGGGTTGCCAGGAGCCTGGTTCATCACACAGCTACTCAACTCCTCCTTGGTTGGGGGAGCCCCGCCCCGTTGCCGTGCCTGGGGATTTTATGATGAATAGATTCAGTTACAATTCTTTCTTGGTTTGAGGATATATTTGTAAAATGTTCGGGTTGGGAGGTGAATTTGAAGCCATTTCAAATGTTTGGTCCTGTTCTTAAAAAGGTGATAACTATGTATCATATCGGGAATAATATATTCCAATATCGTGTTATTTAGTTGCAGTGTTTATAATATACATTTAAAATGTTATTTATGATTAATGATATTTTTTATGTATTAACAGTTTGATGAATAACCATTGAGAACTATCCTTTCTGTTTATATGTTTACACTGGAATCCTACAGCAGTTACCCAGATAGGGTCAGTTAGAGGGGGTTGGGTACCCGTGTAGTAACTTTCGACTCGTCCCAGCCGTACTAACCTTGTATGCAATGAACAAGGCTTTCTGAGCATGCTCAACAGAACAAGCACCACACGCCATCGTCTGAACCTCGGACATCCCTGGGGGAGCTACCTGGAAGGGGGAACATCATAACTTCCAATGGGCTGAATCTCAGTGCTCATGCAAATCTTGAAATAACCTGAATACTATATGTATCATCCAATACTGGTTTCAAGAAGAGATACATACAGTAGAAGTTAACTGTTTCCGACCTTGCCAAACTAGGCTGGAATTATGGAGTTATATTTTTGCTGGACTAACGAGTCTATGCATAGTCTAATCAAATCACGTAACAAAATCAACATCCGGTTCGTAAACTGCCATGCAGATTTCGATCAATTGCAGGATTTGCAAAGCATGTGTACTGTCAACTTACCATCAACAGATATTTTCCAAATCTTTTCATTCTTTTAATCAAGCAGCTCAAGTGATTTGGTACACTTCAATTTGATACTACTTGCCATCAATATCTGACAATACCACCATAGGTTACAGCTGGTGAAATATCTCATCAGCCAATCAGCGCGAAATTTTTTAAGCAAGTGCAGCATTTCGATACAGCATATCAGACTCTTGTATTTAAAAAACAAACATAAATGGGCAGTTCCAAATGGAGACAAATAACAGCAGTTCCATGTTATGGATATTTTACACCCTATCATTTCAGCCTCGCTTCTGTATCACTTCTCCTACATCAAACATGAGCAAAACTGCTGGAACACTATGAAGCTAACTTGTGTTAGAAAAGCTGAAATCTGATTGGACAGAAAAACGATTTATCTTTCATCTTGAAGAGGCGGCAATAATGATCTCCTATGGAGGGTTGTCATATTTGGATGGAGAGAGTTATCAAATTAAGGTAAAAGATTATGTTGAATTTTCATACCCAAATTAACCTTTATCAAGAATTCTTCAAGCAGTGTAATACATATTCTTAAAGAAGAATGTCAAAATAACATTATTTAAATCTGTCAAGAAAAACTTACAACATATATGGCATTTTAACACATTTACTGTACACTGTATACAACCTTATTTGCACTGGGTGTTACCATATTAGGACACAACAAATCAATTATTAGATTAGATTAGAAAATACACCACCTCAGTAAAATTTATGAGCCATTTCTGTCACTCTAAATTAACATCTCCCAAGGACTTGCAGCATTCGGAACAGCTGCATATGATGAAATATGACTTGTCCTGAATCCAACTTCCAGTGTCAAACTAACATCCCACAACATTAAACACTGATGAACCCCAAAAATGTATGATTGTATTATACACAAGAAAATCTGGAAGGACACAATGTACTAATGAATGTCATTGACTTTTACCATTGAATATATCTGGCTGAAACTTGCTATACAGATCAGTCTAGTGATGAATTGGTGCCTTTTGATGATTTGGGATATTGAAAAATGCTGAACAGCATCTTGTTACTTTTATTGAACTGAAGGTATCCAGTGGCAGTGAACCACAAGTGGGGTATAAGTAGCAAAACTCCATTTCCAAATTGCACCAGACCAGGGGGATATGTCATCTCCTGATGACTCCTGTTTAATTATTTAAAAGTTATTCTATTCCTCCTACCTTCAAGTATTTTAGGAATAAAAATGTGTAAAACACAAAAAAAGTTTGTGGTCTCTTGCAAATACCAGAATATATTTCAGGAATAAAAATGTGTAAAACACAAAAAGATTTTGTGGTCCCTGGCAAATACCAGAAATAATCATCCTCATTGAGTTTTGATCACATGGTTTTAATCCGGGTAAGACTCGACAGACAGGTGACTGCGAGCAGTAATATTTAGCAGTGACCTTGGTCAATAGCACTTTCAATACTACATCTGTGTGTGTTTTTCTTTCAGTTCCTGCTGACAATGTACATATGCTGAACACGCTGTTAAATATAGCCGCGCAGTCACCTGACTGCCAATCCTTAGTCGGATCGTGTCCATCTGATCAAAATTCGATGATGTTGTTTTATCGCTAAGAATATGGACATTTCTTGAAAAGCTCACTTTGCATTTTTTGTCATTATTCCTTATCAGTGGAATGGTTTGTTTTCACTTTACAAGTATCAGCACACATGTAGCTATCTTTGTTAGTTATTCATTGCAATATTTCTTGTTTCTATTTCAAGTGGCGACAATCACGGCAGCCTTTATGCAGGCCAATCAATGTTTTTCTGTCTTTGAGGATTCATGCCGTATCGTGTAAGGTCATTATGCTAATTACAGCTAGGTTGTGTTTTTCCAAACATTTTAAATTGGACTCATCAGTGTAAGTTATAAATTATTTTTAACTCTTGGGACTATAAATTGAGTCCAAGTCAACCATGAATTAAAAAAACCCAGTTCAACACATCTTGGTTGAAACAGTCTGCAGCTAGGGACCGGCCTGTGAGTTCGACAACCAGATTTTGACAATTCAAAGTTCGATTGAGTGAGCGAATGAGTTGGGTTTAACACCACTTTGAACAGTATTCCAGTTATATCACTGCATGTCAGCTTAATGTGGGATCAACGCGATGCACGTCAGCCACTTTGGTCAAACCCAAGAGTATGGGTATGGTGCTGACAAACCTAGAAACATAATCAGGGCGACACAGAATTTGAACCCACGATCATAGGTTTCTGGCATGCCCATGGGATGCAACTCTGCACGGAGAATTGCCACACCTTAGACGACTGGGCCACCTGTGCCCCCACCGAATTTGAGACAACAAGGATCGACTGTTCTCGTTATTAACATGAAACTTTGGGACAATGTAACCTTGCAATCAGGGTCACCTTGCCAGTGTGCTGTCAGTAAGGAAACCTTGAAGGTTAAGATTGCCCAACAGTGCAGTTAGTGAAAGATATAAAATAATCAAAAAGTTTAGAGATCATAGTTGTGGTGTCTGCATTTATTTGAAACTTTAAATTGACCTTAAATGCAGTGTTTAAATTACCCGCCTGCCCGACAGACCGAGGCGGTCTATTTTGCTGACAGAAGGTCAGTTTTGAAAAGTTGCATGCCCGATGGTCGGGTTGTTATTGTATTCCCTAAATTACCTAATCCTCTAGTTGTAATGCAATGTAACAGATAAATTGATTGCAAATGTTAAACACCTTATTGATGAATAAAATTTTAATAAGCTAAAGTTGGTAATCCACCAGTTTATTGTTATTTTTCTGAGAACTGACATTCAACAGTGCTATTCTTATGTTTTCCCTTTTGTTACTTTCGTTAGTTTGTTAGTCTGGAGCATTCTGGACTGGCAACATTCTATCTGGTCTGGTAACTTTGCAAAGTTGCCAGTCCAGTTGTCTGACTGAAATTTTGGGAATATTATACACTGTCGAATGGTTTGTCTTAAGTGTCTGTTGACCTACTTCTAGTTGTCTATCCATGGAATATGCCGGTGGATGGAGTTGCAGGCCCCATCCCTCCTTTTGAAGCATACTAATCATGTTGACATATAAAACAATATTTTTAAATTTAATAGTATTAATTGGCTATATTTTGGCTCACAAAGCAAATTGTTCCTGAATTAAGTGCTAGCATTTTTGTATTATAAGTGCATCATCCCTCTTTGCCAAACATCTGTTTACACACTTGTGACACTGATAGATTCAGAGTTGCTCCACGGAAAATACAAAGTTGAAATAAAGGACAAAAGTATGCAAAAATAGTCAAATATAGAATAAAGTATTAAATGACTAATAAATGTTAGTAATAAAGTTCAAAGTACAAAACAAACAGACGCCTGTTAAATAATACAAAGTTGAAAATTAGGTCAAACGTACGCAATATAAAATGATTATATGATTAAAAATATAATTATTCTAACAATGATTGAGTGAATTACTTTTTCTCTATGCCATAGTCTACCTTTATCCAGCTATATCATGACAGCCTGCAAATAAACGTGAATTGCCAGACAAACTAGTGGTTGACAGCATGAGCTCAGACCCATGGCATCTGGATCAGATGACACACAATCAGCCAAGTCACACAAGGCGTGGGTCAACAGGAGGAGGATCGATAGTCTATAGTGAGTGAGCGAGTGAGTGAGTTGGGTTTTGTGCCGCTTTTAACAGTTTTCCAGTTATATCTAGGCATGTCAGCTTAATGTGGGAGGAAAGCCAAAGGGGTGCAGGTCTCAGACTTTTACCACTTCGGTGAAACCCACGAGAACGGGCATGGTGCTGACAAACCTAGAAACATAATCGGGGCGAACCGGGATTCGAACCCACAATAATAGGTTTCTGGCGTGCCCAAGGGACGTAACTCTGCACAGCGAATCGCGGTGCCTTAGACGACTGGGCCACCTGTGCCCCCTATAGTCTATAGTGCTTAAAGTGGTTGCTCATCGGATAAAAAACAACACTTACAAGTGTTCAAGCTATACTCACTCACTCACTCACTCAAAGCAGTGAACCTGTTAAACCAGATATTATAGTGTGTGAGTGACTATGGTTTTACGCAGTTTTTCCGCAATATTCCAGTAATATGACAGCAGGGGACACCAGAAAGGGGCTTCACACTTTGCACCCATGAGGGGAATCGAACCCGGGTCTTTGGTGTGATGAGCAAGAGCTTTAACCACAAGGCCACCCCAACGCCCCTAAACCAGACATTAATCTTGACTAGGTTAGATAACCTGAATAGACAATGGGAACTGACACATATGCTGAACAGATTTAACAACCTACTTTCTTATCACTATGCAAAACTCATACAATCTCAAATCTATATTTTCCAACACAGATTACTTTTCCTAAACTCTATTAAAGAATCTTTCTTATTCTCTAGTTTGCACTGATTGATGCTTGGCTGCAGATAATCCATTAAGTGAAAATATATCACCTTGTACAAAATTAAAATAAATTGGACGAAAAGTGCACAGAAAATATTCTAATCAATTTGCCACAGTCATATATGTACATTTTGATATTGGCTTAACAATCAGTATGTACAAATAGGATGTCAAATGATTTCAAAATAATATTCCTTTTTGAAATCCTCGAAACTGCTGCAACAGCTATTCAAACGATTCATGATCCAGTATTCACAGTTGAATCACTTCCTGAATTGATGAAAAAAATCCAGCCTAGTGCTGGTGATCCTTATTGCTTTCTTCCAGTGAAAGAATTCTACAGTGGCGGCAACACCTGTCATTCTGCTGGCCAATAATCAATGAGCGCAGGGTAACATCTAATTGCGTCTGTCCACGATATCGAGCGATAGCTTGGCCGTTAGCGTATGGAGGAATGAAGCCAAAGATCAATAAAAAATTCAATAAATTCTTCCGAGTGATGGGGAATCATTTCACATGTTCAATAATCTCTTGGTAGATTGTGTTTAAACTGCAAGGCCCTCGGATTTCTCGACTTGAGGAGCAGATGGGTTAGGGTGAAAGATCTAAGACGATCGATAGAAAGGAGTTTGTGATGCCAGGCGACATTCTGGGATCCTGTTAGCCCTGCGAAGTGTGCAGACTTGAATCATACAGGTTATGTGAAATCAGCGGGACTGTGTCCAATAGTGAAGGATATGACATTTTGCTGTGTCCTGCCATACAAACTGTATAAGCTACAATTGCCTCAGGATGGAAATATTCTATTTCGAATTCTAGCTTGATATGAAACACATCCATCAAAGTTATTTATTAACACTCCAGACCCGCGAAGATCATATCATATCCCAATTGCGTAGTTCGATGCTCATGATGTCAATCACTGGATTGTCTGGTCCAGACTTGATTATTTCCAGACTGCTGTCATATAGCTGGAATACTGTTCAATGTGGCATTGAACAACAGACAAACAAACATATTAACGCTTGAAAGGAAGCATTTGCTGGAGCAGGTGGGAAAGAACAAACAAAGTCAAGCTGTCATTGCAACTGTTATGGCTAAAAATAGTGCCACAGCACTGTAGCTCACCTGGATATGTACTCAACACTTTAAAATGTCAATACTTAACAAAAGAGGATGCCAGCATTGCCATTGAATATTTTCAGCCTAAACACTTATGACAAATGTATTAACAAATATGAAACAAGTAACTAAATTTCTAAATGTTACTAAATGTTGTTGCAATACACAACAGTTGAATTTACTATTAACAAAGTTTCAACTCTGAGCCTTGTATAGCTTCAAAGGAGAATCATTTCATCTGATGCCATACCAGGTTTCCAAGAAACACACTAATGATTTGAAAACAATATATCATAATAAGATTGAGTTGTATTTTAGCCATATTGTGATCATCATAACAAAAACATACATGCAAAGTTCAGCTTCCTTAGTTTACCAAAATCAGAGATGTTTACAGGGCCCAAAATGTGTTTTGTTAAAATGCAAGAGCATAACAGTACAGCTTTACAATATGGCTTTCATAGTGGCCATATTGAAAATCAGGTTCAAACCTTTCGAAAAAATTCAGATGTCATCATTGGTGGGACCAAGTTTGAGAAATTTCAGCTTCATTGGTCAAGAGGTTTGCTGAGGAGTGGATGTTTATAGTGTTTTTAGAAAATACAGGAGCATGGTATGAAAGTCCAAACTTTCCCCCAAATTGACGATGCTCTTAAATTCTGCATTTAAGCATTGTGAAATAATCTAGGAGCATCGTCTAAAGTGCAAAAAGTCAAATAAAGATCAAAATTAAATATAACAAGAAAAATGGAACATTTGTGTCAAGTCCCATTACTAGCTACACATATACCAAATTGCATTACATTCGACTGAGCTAAAAACGGCTAAAGAGTGACTGTAAATAATTAAAGCAATTTTTGTGGCCTTTCGATAAATGGAAAACCTTTAAAAAACTGTTACTTACAGCTAAAAGAGTTTTGCGCAGCTTCTCGGCCCAGTTCTTGGGGGGAAACACACCGAGGGCAGGTCTGTTGATGAAGTGGCCCTGAAAGATGGGATGCTACGTTTCAGTATCTCTCATCAAAACAATGTCTAAATCAGAAAAAATAACAGTCATAGATTTTATTCTTTTTAATGTGTTAAAATGATGAGAAGGACCAGTGATCTAAGTCATGAAAACACAATAGTTATGCCCCTTAGGCATACAAGGATCTGAAGCTTGTGGGTGAACAACACACATTTGTCCCTATTATGATCCCACCAGTCCGTGCTAATAGGCAGTGTCACTTTCGTTATCTGGTCTACATATCATAGGGGTCAGCCAAATATCATCAATATAAAGTGTTGTCTCGCTATTACACCCTTCAACATAGTGCTAATCCAGTTATAGCTGCGGCAACGTACGGCTCCCAAAATTAATGTACATTTTTAATAAACTCAAGTTTTACACTGACACAATGTTTTTCCCCCATCGCAAACAAACATTACCAGCTATCGCTACCAGAATGTAGATCAGGTGGACACAATGGCAGTTCAGTTTGAAAATGACTAAGTGCTTACAAGGTAAAGCACACGGAGACCAGGCTGACTGGCATCTTCAGGCTTGAGTCACTGATTTCAATACCCTCAATACCCTCCTTGGTCACTCCTGCTGACAAACACCATGACAGAACAATAACACTGCTGACTATGATTATGATTAGCATGATTATGTCAGAATAAATAACATCCTTACCAGGTTCTCTGGTTTCTGCATGACTGCCATCAGATTGGGATGGTTGTAGCCTACAACATCATTGTAAAATAATGTGAGAGGGTACTTCTATCTGATTGCTTGAAAAACATTGCTAAATGGTGTATGAAGACCAAATATTTGCCAAACCTGAATACTTTTCCTGAGAAATACAAATAAGTTCAATATGCATCACATTTTGAGAACATGTGGAGTCATGAAAGTTACATTTATTACATACTACTCAAAAGAAATTAAAGAACCTCTGAATCTTTCATATTACTATAGTTAATCTGTAGTAATTTATAGAAATATGAAAGAATCAAGTGTTCCTTTACTTCTTTTGAGTAGTATAAATTCCATTCGATTAAGATTTGAAAATTTGAAGCTTGTAAACAGATATTATGGTTGTAATGGAAGCAAATGACACCATCCATGGTGTGAATATGTCATTGCATTCCACAGTGACACCTTTGTTTTATTGTCTCCACAAAGAGTGCTACAGAAAAATATTTATTTCTTTTACTATATCTTGTAGATTGATGACTGATGACCTTTCCAATATCTGTCACGTTGACAACTCCTTGAAGGTGAGCTACTGAACTATTGGGGTTTACTGAATAAGTGTGTCAGTTCAGGTCAATAAATATAGTACAACAAGCAAGAAGAATTCATCAATTACTGCAAAGTACACATGGCACTACTGTAAATGAACAGGTGCTGAGTTGATCAATACTGCTCCATGGGTGCAGCAACAAATAGCATGAGAAGACGAGGTATAACCCAGTATTACAACTAGAGCCGTTCATCTACTGCCACTGTTAACATGTCTAATGGATAGATTCTTGCATCTACAGCTATTAACTGAACATGATTGGATATCTCTAGGAAATGTCTGGAACATGTTTCCTTGCATCTGTAGGAAATGTCTGGAACATGTTTCCTTGCATCTGTAGGAAATGCCTTGAACATGTTTCCCAGCATCTGTAGGAAATGTCTGGAACATGTTTCCTTGCATCTGTTGGAAATGTCTGGAACCTTTTCTTGCATCTGTTGGAAATGTCTGGAACATGTTTTGCAAAATCTGTAGGAAATGTCTGTAACATGTTTCCCAGCATCTGTAGGAAATGTCTGGAACATGTTTCCTTGCATCTGTTGGAAATGTCTGGAACATGTTTCGCAAAATCTGTAGGAAATGTCTGGAACATGTTTCCCAGCATCTGTAGGAAATGTCTGGAACATGTTTCCCATCATCTGTAGGAAATGTCTGGAACATGATTCCTTGCATCTGTAGGATATGTCTGGAACATGTTTCCCAGCATCTGTAGGAAATGTCTGGAACATGTTTCCTTGCATCTGTAGGAAATGCCAGGAACATGTTTCCCATCATCTGTAGGAAATGTCTGGAACATGTTTCCCAGCATCTGTAGGAAATGTCTGGAACATGTTTCCCATTATCTGTAGGAAATGTCTGGAACATGTTTCCTTGCATCTGTAGGAAATGCCTGGAACATGTTTCCCATCATCTGTAGGAAATGTCTGGAACATGTTTCCCATTATCTGTAGGAAATGTCTGGAACATGTTTCCTTGCATCTGTAGGAAATGCCTTGAACAGGTTTCCCAGCATCTGTAGGAAATGTCTGGAACATGTTTCCTTGCATCTGTTGGAAATGTCTGGAACCTTTTCTTGCATCTGTTGGAAATGTCTGGAACATGTTTCGCAAAATCTGTAGGAAATGTCTGGAACATGTTTCCCAGCATCTGTAGGAAATGTCTGGAACATGTTTCCTTGCATCTGTTGGAAATGTCTGGAACATGTTTCGCAAAATCTGTAGGAAATGTCTGGAACATGTTTCCCAGCATCTGTAGGAAATGTCTGGAACATGTTTCCTTGCATCTGTAGGAAATGTCTGGAACATGATTCCCAGCATCTGTAGGATATGTCTGGAACATGTTTCCCAGCATCTGTAGGAAATGTCTGGAACATGTTTCCTTGCATCTGTAGGAAATGCCTGGAACATGTTTCCCAGCATCTGTAGGAAATGCCTTGAACATGTTTCCCAGCATCTGTAGGAAATGTCTGGAACATGTTTCCCATTATCTGAAGGAAATGTCTGGAACATGTTTCCTTGCATCTGTAGGAAATGCCTTGAACAGGTTTCCCAGCATCTGTAGGAAATGTCTGGAACATGTTTCCTTGCATCTGTTGGAAATGTCTGGAACATGTTTCGCAAAATCTGTAGGAAATGTCTGGAACATGTTTCGCAAAATCTGTAGGAAATGTCTGGAACATGTTTCCCAGCATCTGTAGGAAATGTCTGGAACATGTTTCCTTGCATCTGTTGGAAATGTCTGGAACATGTTTCGCAAAATCTGTAGGAAATGTCTGGAACATGTTTCCCAGCATCTGTAGGAAATGTCTGGAACATGTTTCCCATCATCTGTAGGAAATGTCTGGAACATGATTCCTTGCATCTGTAGGATATGTCTGGAACATGTTTCCCAGCATCTGTAGGAAATGTCTGGAACATGTTTCCTTGCATCTGTAGGAAATGCCTGGAACATGTTTCCCATCATCTGTAGGAAATGTCTGGAACATGTTTCCCAGCATCTGTAGGAAATGCCTGGAACATGTTTCCCAGCATCTGTAGGAAATGTCTGGAACATGTTTCCCATTATCTGTAGGAAATGTCTGGAACATGTTTCCTTGCATCTGTAGGAAATGCCTGGAACATGTTTCCCATTATCTGTAGGAAATGTCTGGAACATGTTTCCCATTATCTGTAGGAAATGTCTGGAACATGTTTCCTTGCATCTGTAGGAAATGCCTGGAACATGTTTCCCAGCATCTGTAGGAAATGTCTGGAACATGTTCCCCAGCATCTGTTGGAAATGTATGTTGACACCAAGAATGTATGAAAGTTGGAGCGGATCACTACTACTCACTACGATCAAAATGTATTTCAAATAACAAGTAGCCAAGTGAGATTGACTTACCGATGGGTATTGAAGCAATCTGAGTGTACAAATCCAGAAGAACGTTGTCATCAGCATCAGTGATGTAGTTGCCATGGCTTCTGTCATAGTCCACAAAGAACTGAACAGCCTCAGAGTTCTAGGTCAAACCAATCTTTTGTGAGTGTTACATTAGGTAGTCCTGCATATGTAAAACATGCAACAATCATCTAAAGAATATGTGCTGAGTGTAATTATATTGTCTGTTTGTTGTTTAACACTGAACTCAGCAATATTACAGCTATAAGACGGTGGTCTATAAATAATATTCTGGACCAGACAATCCAGTGGGGAATGCCAGAAATCGGCTTCACTCATTTACGCAAATGGGATACAATGACATCCATCAACCAAGTCAGCAAGCCTGACCATCCGATCCCGTAAGTCGCTACTTACGACAAGCATGGTCGCCTTTTACGTCAAGCATGGATTGCCGAAGACCTTTTCTAAACAAGATCTTCAAGTGTAGAGAGTCATTATGTATCAAAAATGTACATAAATGAAACAATACTGAAGGTATGAAAACAATACCATGTAACCATCAATATCAGGGTTCAAAATGATTTGTATTAAAGTGCCAGTTGATGGTTATACAATTAACATGTTAAATAAGTTCCCAGTACCATCAGGCATTACTGTTTTAGTCACATGTTTTTAATAAAATTCCCACATGATGTCAAATATATGACACCATTTTTTCGCACAAGTAAACTGGACAAACACATTGAAACTGATGACTACATGAACATGATTACTGCTTCAAATATCTTCAAATAAGGCCTATTCTTGACACTACATTTGTTTGTTGGTTATTTAATGCCGCACTCAGCAATATTCCAGCTATACGACGTCAGTCTGTAAATAATTGAGTCTGGACCAGACAATCCAGTGATTGACATCATCGATACACGTAATTGGGAAACGATGACATGTGTAACAGGACAGACTTTGGCCACTTTAAGACACCATGACTTTGCGTTGTGTTTCTTTTATTCTGAAGATATTAATGCCGAAAATACTAAAATAAAGTGTCTATGGTCCCTCTGTCTGTCCTTTATAACCTCAGTTCGTTGGATGTAGGGAGGTGATTCACAACAAAATATAATCAAGTTTCAACAGTTTATTACAGAAAAATAAACAAAACGAAAAAAAACCAACTGTATCAAAATATAAATACGAACTCAACAACAATTACAAATCAATCAATCAATCAATCAATCCTAATCAAAAATCCTACTTATACCCTCAAAATAAAACTCAAAAGCAGCCTAAAGCAAACCCCTCACTAACCCACTTTAATCCCTACAACATCCTTAACACAGTCTATGAAAACAAACCACCCTTTCAAACCTCCAAACACAATTGGTCTATGTAGCTACATCACATAGCTGACATTATTTCCTGCTTAAATCCACCCGTCCAACCCAGCTTTCTAACAATTTACCCAGTAATTCTAAGTTGCCACATAATTTAGATCTTTATTGCCTAAAATCACTAGGGATTGGGGAAATGTTCGACCTCCGAACACGATCGGTCAATGTAGCTACATCACATAGCTGACATTATTTCCTGCTTAAATCCACCCGTCCAACCCAGCTTTCTAACAATTTACCCAATAATTCTAAAGTTGCCACAGAATTTAGATCTTTATTGCCTAAAATCACTAGGGATTGGGGAATTGTTCGTCCTCCGAACACGGTAATTTGGTGTGGTCTCCCTCATCTGTAATGATCTTCCCAATCATGCAAGACAATGAGAGCATTCGCGCCTATCTCTTATATACTCGCAAGGACACGTAACCTCTGGGTCAACACGTCTAAACGGTGCAGCCACTGGCTAATCCAGCCTGTCACCAACCAATCGGAGCGCTCTTACCATACGACCCACGACTGTAAACACTAAATCGGCATGCAGCCGACAAACGCACATGCCCGCAAGTGGGGCAAGATCTGAAACGTGCTGTCCCAAGCGAACTACATATCGGTAAGGAGCTATTAACCACGAATATGCTACCATCTATCCTACATAATCAGAGGAAATTTCAATATTTCTACATTCCTCCCCCCTAAGAACAAAGTAACTCTTACTTTGTCTAAAATTTCCGATCATTAAAACAAATATTCCAAAATATTCCCCTTTTTAATAGGTTGACTGACTAACTGAATAAACAAAATCATTTGTGTAATTACAACAAATTAATGAATAGAAATCAAAACACTGAGGGTTTACTCAGAATCGGCATCAATGAACAAATATTTCAAGTCGCTGAGGTCTTGTTCCTCCCGACTGCACCGTCAGGAAGGCCACCGGCGTCTTTCTTCTTGAGCTTGAAGCCGCGCCTCTTCATGGATCTGGGTGTCGTGTCTAGGGGGCCTAGGGGGCAAAACATCCTCAGGGTCCCTATATTCGTGGTTGGGCCTCTCCTCCGAGGTGATGCTGGCCACCGGCCGATGTATCTTTACATGGGCCTTGGCATGAGTTCTCTTTTTGTACAGTTTCCCACATTGATCGCACCGGGATAAAGTTACATATTTATTATGGAAACGGGCCCAGTGGTCCAGTAAGCGGCCAAAGCGGGAATATTGTGCGTTGTCATATCCCGTGAAAGGGCACTTCATCCCCCCTTTTTCCCAGTCCTGCCTCAACGTCTTCAGTTCGAAGTCCCTTCTTTCCATCGCGTCTACTTCTATTTCTATCTCCATTTCTTTAACAAACAAAAATAAAAATGCCTATGGTTCTACCCTCAGGGTCTGTGCAATTAAAAACATAATCAGGTTTCCTAGGGAGAATAACGGTCTCGAGGTTTCACAATTCTTCCCCTTCTAGTTCTAACAGGTGTTGCCGAAGCAGGTGGACTAGATCCCATATTATCTATTAAATCACCTAAAGAATCCACCCCATATTCATTATTTAATTCACTAACAGATTCTGTTTCAGATTCCTTTGCAACACTGGCAGACTCATCAACTTCCAGGGGTTTTAAGTGATCAACATGAACAATGATGCAGGTTGTTTTATTATCTCTCTGTATTTTGTAGGCGAGAGGAGATACTTTCTCCCGAACAAAATAAGGTCCAGTCCAACCCAAGCCAAGCTTCCACCCAGCTGTTGGGGGATACCACCGCCAGACTTGCGAGCCTACTTCAAATTCCCTATGTTTGAGATTAATGTCATAGTTTCGTTTCTGGGTTTTAGCTGCGTTTCCTAAATGTTCATTTGCAAATTCAAAATTTTCCTGCATGACTCTGCGCAACCATTCTACATATGCTACTGGACATAAATCTGGAGTGACATTTGGCGGACTTCCCACCATGACATCCAAAGGAAGTTGAATTTCCCGCCCTAACATAAGTAGATTTGGAGAGCAGTGAGTACTTGAATGAACACTAGCTCGGTAGGCCATTAGGAGGTATGGTAAGTGGTCATCCCAATCTAATGGTTCTTAGTGCGTATAAATAGAAAGCATTTGCCGAAGAGTCCTATTAAAGCGTTCAACAAGACCATCCGACTGAGGATGATATGGTGTAGTACGGGTTTTAGTTATACTCAACAGTCTACAAACCTCTGTAAATAAGGTAGATTCAAACTCACGGCCTTGATCCGTGTGGAGTTGTCGAGGACAACCAAATCTACAAAATACCTCAGTCACTAACTTGTCAGCAACGGTAATAGCTTTGTGATTTGGAACAGCAAAAGCCTCTTTCCATTTAGTGTAGTAATCACCCAAGACTATGATGTATTCATTTCCATTCCTAGTTATCGGAAAAGGACCCAAAATATCCACGGCCATACACTCCATGGGAGCACAAATTTTAAATTGTTTCAGTGAGGACTTTCCCTTTCCTTGACCTGGTTTGCAATGTGCACAATACTGGCATAATTTACACCAGCGACGAATTGAATCGGACATGCCTGGCCAATAGAATCTACGTTTGATTGACTGCTGAGTTTTATCTCTGCCAAAATGTCCTGCTGTACGTTTAGTATGTAAATGACTGAAAACTTCTTCCCTGATAGCTTCTGGTGCAATAAGTTGCAAAAGCTCTCCACCTACATGCAAAGAACTTTTCCTATACAGTAATTGATTTTGAAGTGTGAGTGAATCCCACTGACCCCAAAGACACTTGGCATCAGAGTTCAGATCAACTATGTCAGTTTTTAATGGTTTGTCAGCTGATGCCTTTAATCTATTCAGAATAGGACCGATACTAGGATCGTCTTGCTGCATTTTGAGTAACTCGTCTTTAGTCCAAATGGGTAGCCAATTAGATGTGTTTTCAGAATTGCCTATATTCCTACTTGTAGGTATTGCAATAGGATTGATCGTCTGGGTTTCCCGTTCATGCCTCCCAACTTGTACCTCCCAATTCAAAACAGACTGATCAAATCCGGCTGAATCAGAGAACACAGCAGAGGATTCCTCCCTGCAGTCAATACAAGTTGTGTTTTTACATTGACAACGCATCTGCATTTTTATGCTTTGTACCAGACCTATACTGAATATCCATATTGTAAGTCTCAATGACACTTAACCAACGTGCTAGCATTCCCTCTGGATCTTTGAAATTTTTAAGCCAGATGAGTGGCGCATGATCAGTTCTAAGCAAGAACCTACGTCCGTATAGGAAATGTCTAAATTGCTTTAAGAAAGTGACAACGGCCAGAAGTTCACGCTTAGTGGTACAATAGTTTTGTTGAGCTTGATTCAGAGTTTTACTAGCATATGCAAGTACCCTTTCTTGTCCATCAATCTGAACCTGTGACAACACAGCTCCAATGCCATAAGCACTGGCATCGGTATCTAACACGAACTGACCTTCATCTTGGGGGAAAGCTAGTATGGGAGCAGTAACCAAGTTTTGTTTCAGCTTTTGAAAAGCATGTTCACAATCCTCATCCCACTTAAATCAAACATGTTTCCGGATCAACCTTGTGAGTGGCGCAGCAATGTTTGCAAAGTCCTGGACGAAATGACGATAGTAACCAACTAACCCTAAGAAACTACGAACCTCAGACCTATTTACAGGTCTTGGCCATGATTCAATGGCTTTTGTTTTCTCAGTGTTACATTGGATACCATCCTTGGATACGACATGCCCC